GAAAGGAAAGGAAAGGAAAGGAAAGGAAAGGAAAGGAAAGGAAAGGAAAGGAAAGGAAAGGAAAGGAAAGGAAAGGAAAGGAAAGGAAAGGAAAGGAGAAAGGAAAGGAGAAAGAAATTTAAGAAGATAGTAAAGCAGGCAGGCACTCCATAGCTTCCTCTGGCCGCTTACCTGCTGAGGTCATTACAGATGTACTCTAACACTTTATATTTCTGTTTTATACTTTATTTCATGCTTGAGAGTTGAACATTTCAAAACACGAGGACAATAAATACATTGTCGCAGATACAATATATCTAAAAGCCAGCAGTAACATCTTTAATCTTTTATGTTTTCAGAAACATTACTACACTTTTGTACTCCTTGATTATAATAATTGCATCTATGATAATATCAGTTTTCTGAAGATATCTCTATTTGGTGTAAAAGTTTATTCTAATTATATATTTAATACAACAATACATGCTGTAATAGCAGCAAATTTATGTACTATATATACAAATATAAAAATCCTTTAATTCATATTTTAGTAATAATTATAATTTAAATGTGAACTAAAAGAAACTAACTTTCACACTACTCTTTTTAGCCCTAAAGTTAATAGTGTAAAGATGTTTGATAACAAACATTTGAGTAAGCCAGACAGTAGTGGCACATGCCTTTAATCCCAGCACTAGGGTGACAGAAGCAGGCGGATCTCTATGAGTTCGAGGCCGGCCTGGTCTGCAGAGTGAGTTCCAGGACAGCCAAGGCTACACAGAGAAACCCTGTTTCAAAATATTATAAAAAAAATAAAAGGAAACATTTTGCTTATTTAGGATGTTGTGATATCTTCCTACATTTTTGCTCTTTGAATCTAGTTGCTAATCTGAAGTCCAGTTGGCTCTTTCTGGGGTTATGAGTGAGTTTAGAAGCACTAGAAATTCTAAATCCTTTCTTTTAGAAAGACTCTATAAGTAGACTGTTGATTAATACTGTGTTTCAATTCAGCTGAACTAAAATTCTCAGTTATTCTGGAACATTAACCTGCAACATAATTTGTGCCAACTCGATGTGGAGTCAGACTGAGCATGTGCAGGTGCCTCTGGCGGGCGTTCAGACTTCCACTCCAGCAACATCGAGCTGATGGTTTCCCCCGAAGGACCATCGCCTGTCATGTGCTGCAAAGTATTTCTAGGGTGCTATCGACTGGGTCGTTTTCAAGAATAAGTTCTTCACTCAAATCCGGACTTAAGGACCTTACGTGGCAAAACAAACAGCTCGGGTGTGATGGCGCCATGTTCTTCAAGTCCCAAGCGTATTTGGGAAGTCGGCCCCTGGTGTTCATTTGGATTATTAGAAGGGGGTTGTTGGGGAAGGGGGCTGCAATATTGTGACGTGAGGTTTTTGGCAAAACAAGACAGAAAGCATTTAAAAGTAAGTCACACAGCTCAGGAGTCCTCCCCTTGGGACTTCAGCCTTGAATTGGTGCTGTTGGCAGCCTTCAGTCAGTTACCGATTACCCGAATTAGCTCTTTTGTCACTGCTGGCTGGAACTAGAGGGGACCTGCTGACAGGCTGCATGTGTGAGCATGTGTGGACTTGCTTGTCACTTCCTTCCAGAGGCCTGACTTACCGCAGACTGAAGGACTTAGATTTCTCTTCTCTTAAATCCTAGAGTGCAGTGTGGGGAAAAGCCATACCTCTGGACTCATGGCTTCCCTCAAACTATTCAGGAAAATATATTAGGCCTGTGCTGACCCCAGGTGGCCATTTGTCTCTGTCTTCGTTCCCTACACAATTTTTTGTAGCTTTTTCATTGTCTGAGGCATTGTACGTCATCTAGAGGGGATTTAAAGTATACAGGAAGTTGTACGTGAGTTCTGGGCAAGTAGTGTCATTCTTTGTTAGGGGCTGAACTTGTAGGATTTTAGAATCCATGGGCATAGGGAAGGCTCTGCAGTCGTTCCCTGTGGATGCAGAGTGATGACTGTCCATGTCTGAACAATGCTCAGGTGCCTCTGTCACTCTTGTTCAGGGCACTGAGGCTGCTTCCGTGAGGTCAGAGTGAGCCTGCAGTGTGGTCGAGCCAGACGATGGTCGCAAGCTTCTTGCTGGTGTTTGACACTGACATCTTAGCCAGTGTGTGGCCCACAGGGAGGAATGGACTGTTGGCGGGCTAGCTGTGAACACCTCTTCTCATCCCCTCACCCCACCCTCCTTTCAGGGATGTGTCCTCCGAGTCAGACAATAACATCAGGCAGATCAACCAGGAGGCCGCACACCGGCGTTTCCGCTCGCGGAGGCACATCAGCGAAGACTTGGAGCCCGAGGCCTCGGAAGGCGGTGGAGAGGGCCCTGAGGTATGATGCTGGCAAGCTGAGCAGCTCCATCTTCCCACGAGCCCCAGGGTGATTTTGTATCCCATTTTCTCCTCTCAGTAAACTGTGGATTGAGTGTGAAGATTGTGACCTCATAACTAATTGATTCCCATCTGAGCGTTAGTTAACTTGGAAAATGCGTGTGGACCCCATGTTCAGCCAAGACTTGTATAAATATCAAAGGGAGAACATTTTTTTTTCTCGTGTGAAAGTCTTCCATGTTTCTACTTAATGACTGGTTTATCCCAGGATCTAACCAATCTCACGAAACAGCACGAAGGTTCCCATTTTTGAGGAATCGCGTGAGCTCTGACACTTGTTCGGGTATCACGGATGAGTTTCTAATAACTGCGTGCCACCTTAGGAGAGATTACCAAAAAATGTGCAAGTTTGAGTTAATAGAAATTTACTGGGAAAGGAGACGAATTAAGCAACAAATGAGAAATAATCCTAACCCGATCGTTGTGTTGACCGTATGTTGGGAAGTCATTCACGAAACTTGGCAGCGGCCGGTATTAGTGCAGTAAGTTAGTGGTGCCACAGTAGATTCCCGAACCGTTCTGCAGCATCTCAGCTGTCTTCATTAAGAACCCTCACCGCGGCTGGAAAGGAAAGGAAAAAGAATAACATGAAAATTGCTTGTAAATTCTTGGGGCGTTTCTAATCCATTTGTAATAGAGGCTGGCAGAAAGCTGCACTGTGGAGTGTGTACCCCTAAGGGGTGAGATCATGGCCCCTGGGCCCGCTCCTTCACACCTGGTCACACCCCCCACCCCCAGTTGATTGCGTATATCAGCAGTTTACTCTCTCAGCCAAGTTTTCCCGTCTGTTGATTGGGACAGTGGTTCTGTCTTCCCTGTGCTTATTCCTAAAGATCCTGTGCCCCTTGCTGAGTAGATATTAATTACCGTTATCCTGATGGTTATGGATGTTGTGTGCTTTACTGGAGGGAAGACCGCTAAATCCCCAATTCCTAGCACTTAATCTACTTTCTCTTTCCACCAAAGCCTTGGGAGACCATTTCAGAGGAAGTGAACATGGCAGGAGACTCTCTTAGCCTGGCTCTGCCCCCACCTCCTGCCTCCCCTGTGTCTCGGACCAGCCCCCAAGAGCTGTCGGAGGAACTGAGCAGAAGGTTACAGATCGCTCCAGACACCAATGGGGAACAGTTCAGTTCTCTGATCGTAAGTCATGGTCTTGTTAGAAAAGCTGAGCGGTAGTCGGTCCTTTGTTGTTGCTGTAGGAGACTCTTGTATACCGATAATGGCCAAGGGCAGTGGGCAGTGGCTCTCAACCTGGGGGTTGTGACCCCTTGAGGTCAAATGGTCCCTTCACAGAGGTCGCCTAAGATCATCCTGCATATCAGATATTTACATTCAGTTCATAGCAGCAGCAGAGTTACAGTTATGAAGTAGCAATGAAATAACTTTATGGTTGGGGGGGGTCACATGAGGAACTGTATTAAAGGGTCATGGCGTTAGGAAGGCTGAGAACCACTGGCCAGTGGGTCTTCCATACCCACACAGCCCAGGTTCTCCCAAAATTCTCCTTCCCTAAGAGAGGCGGGTCTATATGAAAATTTACCCTGGCAGGTAAAAATCTTTTTGTTTAGAAAGAAGTGGTTTATCAACAGCTCTTTATTATTTATTCTGTGAGTTCTAGCTTTAACCTTGTAGAATTTCTTTCCCATTCACAAGGCTCGTGAAAGTAGTGTCTTCATCCTGAGGGCAGTTGTCCCGTTGAGAAGCGGGAGCCCTAGAGCCTCCCAGCCAATCTTCTAAACTCATAGTCCACACACATTTGCGTTCTAGTTCACAAATAAGTAGGGCCACATGTGTAAGCGGTTGTCCCTGGGAAAGCCTGACTAGGCTGTAGAAGATACCCAGAAACCCAGTATAGGAACTCTGGAGGAGAAAAAGTATGAAACTGTGGCCCTGACATCACAGTAGCACTTGAACTTGGGGTACATCTCGGCCATCAGAGAAATACTTTGTAGAAGTCTCGGGTCAGTGAGAAGGAATGAAATTGGTCACAAGGAACTTTGCAGTTGATAGTGCAAAACTGCAGGAAAAGCCCACAGACCATTCTTGTGTGTGTGTGTGTGTGTGTGTGTGTGTGTGTGTGTGTGTGTGTGTGTGTGTGGAATTAAGACCAAATGCACACACCATGTTTCTCGGGCAGCTGGACTTATAAAGATGTCCTGGAGAAAATGATGATAGTCCCTGTGTTGGAATGGCATTCTCATATGATAGTCGTTCTTATGAGCATTCTGAATGCAAACAGTAGAAGGGCCACACAAAGCGTAAAAGCCACTGCACACACGATTATGAGCCCTTCCATTGCGGGATTCTCCTTCTAAAAGAAACTGCCGGCCCCTGTCACATGAGTCACAGGGATTTCTTCTTGATGTGCTTTCGCATTAAAATTCTATGAATGTTTTTCAAAAAGAGAAATAGCACTGAGATGAAAATCCAGTGCTAAGTGGATAGAAAAGAGGTTGCATATATGAGATATTTGACTGGGTAAAAGTGTTGCTATGGAAACAGCCTAAGCCACCAAGCCATGTATTTAAAATGTATCAAAGAAAGAATTGCTGAAATTATAGCAGCTATATACCATTTATATAAACCATGTGGGGAAAGCGCCTAGTTTTCTCTGTTGACGTAAATTAGCATTTGTCACAGTTAGAGCAGGGAGCTCTTGCGTTTAGCATTTCCAGAAGCATGGCATATTAAGACCCAGGTGTGATAGCACATCCTTAGGGAGCTAGCTTCCTCTGATTTTGATGCTTGAGGCCGCTGTGTATTCAGGGCAGTGGGTCGAACTTTTTGCTCAGCAACGACTCCTTGACACTGCCCAGTGTGGGAAGGTGGGCGTTGTCCCTGTTACCACCACAGAGCTCCGCTGCCTTTAACTTTCTGGGCGTTATTTTAAAATAGTAAAAGCCAAAAAAAAAAATTAAAAAAAAAATAGTAAAAGCCACATGTGCTACAAGCTGTACCGTGGGATAAGCGTCGCTGGTAAGGAATCTGTGACTTCTGTCTGTGACCTTCGAGTATCATCATCCAGATTGACAAGGCTTTGTTTAACCACCAAGAATTCAAATTAGTGAGAGGAACCTTAAGTGTGACGCACAAGATGGTCTTTGGATTTGCCTCCCCCTCTGTTCCACTTGTGGTCTGTACGGAAGTTCCACTTGGAAGCTAAATATAAAGCCCGGCCTGTCGCAGGAAGGAGGGGATGATGTCTGAGGGCAGCCGGCTCTGCAGTGCAGCGACCTCACTGTGAACAGTGCTAGTAGCTGGTCAAGGGCCATGTGTCACCTTTTGGTCCCTCTTTTCCTCTGTTTGTCACGCTTGAGAGTTTGCCCGGAGCTGGCATCCCGGGCAGTGTACAGGACTGCTGACCTCTTGTTACTCTTGAATGTTGTGGGGACCTGTCTCTTTTCCCTTTTAGTAGTCCTGGTCTGTGGGGAAACAGGGACTTGAAACAGAGATCTGCAAGGACTCCTGTCCTTGCTCTGAAAGAAGTGGTGCTTGGTTACCTCCTGGTGCCAGAGAGCCGTGCAGGCAAGCACATGAACTAGTTCCGAGGATATCCCCTTTAACCCTGCCTGTCTTTTCCTTCCCTGCAGCAGAGAGAGCCCTCGTCGAGGCTTCGGTCCTGCAGTGTTACCGACACGGTTGCTGAGCAGGCTCACCTACCACCGGTAATAAACACTCGTTTCCAGTCCTCAGCTGTTTTTTTTCGGCTTTGATTCAAAATCGTCAGGGCTGCTGAGAAAGAGTTTTTCCTGTGTAGATCCATTCACCATATAAAGCAGGACATTAGAAATTTTCTGAGTAAATTGTGCAAGGATCTCGACTTCCCAGCCCAGAATCCTAACTGCCAACCACATTTCTAAAATGCTAAAAACGTGCTTTGGTTTCTCACTGCAAAGTGTGCATTTCTGACGTGCTTATATTACTGAAACTACGTGGTCCATTCAACAGCTATAGCTCTGGTTCTGGTATCTGAACTATGCAGATTCATTGATCAGGAAGAACTCTTCCAGCAAGACAGCCTAAATTTCACCACTACCTAGAGTGCCTGTGCTAACTACAAAGGCAACCCCATGAATGAAATATCAGCTGCCATTTGCCCCCTCCTTCCTATGGCTGTGATAAGTCTGAGTGCCCATCACGTGGTAGAGGGGTTTTCCATTCCAATAATATACTAAATATCAAATTGGTGGCAGATGAGCATTGCCTCATAAGAACGAATTGACAAAAAAAAATGTTTTTCTTCTTTGGGAGGTGAAAATTTTCTGCGGTTATTTTAAATGTTCAATTTGATATTTGACTTTGGCCTTTTATTTGTTTAGTTTTTGTGGGTTTGTGGGGGGAGTGGGAATTAAGACAGAGTCTCGGTCTATAGCCCGGTCCAGCCTAGAACTCCAATTATATACTCCAGGCTAGCCTTGGGCTTGCGACAATCTCCTGCTTTCCCCTCCTGAGTGCTGAGATTACAGGCATGAGACGCCTGCCCTTTTTTTTTTTCATTGCTACAAATCCTCTTTAATGACCTGCTTCATTATGTATGAACTTGAAGACAGGCCACAGATTTGAAATTTTTGAAACCATCTTCCTCGCCATAAACATTTTAACCTGACGTCAAAGGACATTTTTGCCTAAATGAAGTGATGGTGTATGCCAGTCAAAATCAGAAATTCGGTGGTGGAGTCCACCGTGAAGACTGGCTAATAACAAGCTGAGGTGGATTCAGTGCAGACCTCCCAAAGCAGAATCGTACACTGTGATGAAGCCGTGGGGACCCTTCTCGCCCTGGTGATTCTGTGATTTTCTGGTAGAAATTAATTGCATTTGCTCTCCTCTTCACAATCAGTGTCAATTTTGTTTGCCATGGAGACCGTGATTCCACCTTCTCTCCATGTCCAGAAGGTGCCGTGCACTCACTGACCACCAGTGGCCTCTCAGAGATTTGCAGATAAAGAATCTCTAGACTGTGGAGCACAAAATATCCCACTTGAAGTGGTTGCTGGTCACCCCTAGTGAGGATGCAGCCTGAGAGTCTTTGGGGTGATACAGTGGTCCAGAGAGGGCATATGATATTATGCTCTATTTTTGCTGCTGGTCATTGGTGTGTGCTCAGCTTCATTTGGACAAGGTGGATAATTGGGGTTCCTGATCTCACGTCATCTGCCACAGCATCGCCACAGCAGTGATTCCTGCTTCACTAAGCAGTGGATGCCCCCCCCAAATACAAGTTACTGATATACATTATTGTTTAACAGCCCAACACCCCAACTAGGCGAGCGCGTTCATCAACTGTCACGGGTGGTGAGGAACCAACGGTAATAACACAAGTTATGGGACCCTAATGGTGAAGGACTGTGGGGTAGTTTAGTATGTTGGTTATGGTGGATATGTTTCCTCCCATTATCAAATAAGGTCAGTTTCTGTGTGGTACAAAGACATATGTGTTTCTTATCTTCAACTTCTCATTTTGAATTCTTCAAAGGTCCTGGATAAAATGGAATCATTTTTTAATCCTATTAAAAGTATTGTCAAGCCCAGTTACATGTGCTTAATCCAAGCATCTCAAATACAGTTTTGTCGGTAGCTAGAGAAGCCATAGGAACCATCCAGGGCTGTGCATGTGTCCAGATGTGCAAGAGGCTGTGCGCTCTTCTCTGCCCTCCATTCCACATTTTTTAATAGGGGGCCATATTTTTTCTGTATCTCCATCATAACCAGTAACCTCTTCCTGCCACAAGGAGTTTGACTCGCAGGAACGGACAAGTGTTTTTACAATTTCCAGGGCAGGAAGCAATTAGAATATTTCAGTGCAAGTATCTAATATTTGTTATTATTATTTCCTTATTTTGATTGATAGTATCTATGCTTATATGTGACTTCAATTTGAGTAGTTATTTCCTTGTGTTCTACTCGATCCTTGCGGTCAGGCAGGCCCGTATTTGATGATTTGCGCTTAGATGACCACTTGAAGAACTTCCTTTAGTGTTCCACCTTTGTCACATACACCGTGGCTACTTGCTAGTGATGAATGACTTTAACTATATACACCATAGCCGATTTCCTGAAGGATGTTTAGCCCTCCGTGTTACACAAAGGAAGCTCACATTGGCCGTCAGGGCAGCAAGCACAGTGTAAGGTTGCTCAGCCACTGTGGCCTACATGATATGCATGTACTGGAGATCCAGGCTCCCCGCCTCCAGCAGGACTCAAAGAAGTTTACACGGGGTCGTTGATTTTCTACTATGTGCTGGTAGTTTCTCTGAGAAAGTGGGGCTGCAGGGCAGACCATTCCATGGTATGGTTTTGTTTCGTGATACCCATAAACATCCTTTTGTAATGAAGCAGCTGTTTTTACGTTCAGTTGGATTTGTGACCTGCTTAAAGCTTCGGAGTGTTGGGATGGCTAATGATAGCAAAAAACAGAGTGAACTAAACTGCTGTGTTGCCAGACACTATGGTAAAAATATTCCTGACAGAACAAGGTCATCCATCAGAAGGAAAGCCCACGTCACTCTGGGCTGCACTTTTCTTGCCTGTGTTCCCCTCCATCTGTGAATTAAAACATGGTTGGGTCTGGTCTTTTGTTTAAGACTTTGCAATGGAAGTTGCTAAATGATTCTCCCACCCTGATGTGCCTGGCTTTCTCAGGACCTGGATGAGCGTGAAAGGACCGAGTCCATTTCCCTTCCATCCCCTCTATGTCCTGTTCTGTCTCCTAGCATGGTTTTTCCTCTGACCGCCTCTTTGATGCGTGTGCCAGGCAGACACGCCCTGTCATGTGTCACCTCGCTCCTCCCTGTGCTCTCCCAAGCGTGCATGCGCTGCAGTTATGCACACAGCTCTGTTTCGTTGTATTTAGGAGGGAAGCACCAGTACGATGTTGCGTACATCATGCTCAGCAAACTTTTTTTTAACTTACGTCAATTTTTCTGGGCTCTGTTAATAGTCATTTAGTATTCGGTGATGGAAGTGTGCTACAGTCTCTCCACTCTTCTCTCGCTGGAGGGCATTCCCATCTCCAGTGTGTTGTGGTAGCCACCCTTCTCTGTAAACCCTCTCCCTACACTGTGAGGAAGCGCGGAGCCTCGTCCAAGGAATCGTGGCCCTTTGATTTATGGCAGAAGCCTGTAGACCTCGAGTCACTTTCGGGCAGGCTCCACCAGGGCTCTCCCTTTCAAACAGAAGGCGAGAGAGTCCTTTGATCTTCTCTGAAGAGATTCTAAAAATATCCTGAGATAGCACTATGGCAGGGTCCGGGTGAGTCATGGAGAATCTATGGTGGCAAGTGTCCGCAGATAGTCAGATTTTCCTCAGTGTAAACATAGTCTGGTTCTTCACTGTAGACAGTGAAATTGAAGTGAATGGCTATTTGGAATCATAAGGCTCAGCAGTATATTTGGTCTATGAATGGAAACAGAAATGAATTTCATAAACAGAAATGTTCAGCTTGTGTTTGGTTGCCTAACATGTTTCTCCAAGTGCCCTGAAGCATACTCTTATTCCCATACAGTAGTAAAAGTGGAATCTTTTGGCCCCACGCCTGGGTCTCTTGCACAGAACTGTCTGGAGAAGCCAAGTCTTATCATTGCTGGCCATGTGTCCTGGATGGCCGTGTTTTAGTCATAAATGGAATCGTCAACACAAGTTGTTCTACGTGCCCATTTAGAGAGGACACTGTCAAGAAATATTTAGTAACAGCATCTTATATAGATGTGGCTACATTAGCAGTTGCCCGTTCAGTTCCCAGGAGAACGATCATTATAGACAAAGTCAGCGTTCTCTCTGCTGTCCTCCTAGTTCTGTGGACTAACTGGTCCTGTTAACTGTGGATCTGTGCGTGAAACCTGAGCGCAGGGAGTTCTTGGAGCTGGCAGTTCAGTTCTGAGATTGGGAAACATCCAAGTCGTTCAGTTTGTCAGTTCAAAAGTATCTGTTCCAGGAATGCCATTGCTATTTGTTAAAGTCTTAATGTTTCTAGAAATGAATTTTCTGAGAACATATCAAAATGCCTCTCCCCCAAAACATAACTCCTCAAGAAAGGAGAAAGGTGACAGGTGCCATTTAATAGTCCTTGTAGTTAAACCAGTTCTGGTTATATAAGTCATGGTGAATCAAAGGGTATTTTGCCAAATAGTTTTTAACCTATTTGTTTAGGTGACAATACATCAGAGTTTTGGCCAGTCTAGGTGAAAGTCCTTGGAGGGAGGCAGAGTTTTGTTGCCGGTGTCCCCATTAGGCTGTGGACTACTTGGTCTGTCTCTCAGGGTCATAAGAACCTGACATCCGTTGTCTTGTTCCTGGATACAGAATGCTGTGTGGTTAGGTTGTTCTTGGAATTCCCTCATCCTTTAGGATTTGCCTGGGAAAATGTCGAGGAGATGTTTGCCGCATTTCTTTGCAGGAAGGTTCTTTCCCTTTACACGTGCTCTCTCCTTGCCTGGTAAACATGGTGTCGAAATAACCACGAGTCAGATGCTCCCCAGTTGGTTTTCAGGTTAGCTTTTCTGGAGTCAGCTGTTCAGCGTGGGAAGCAGACAGAGGAGCCTCTTTGCTTGCAGTCCTTAGTAACTGCAGTGTACATGTTCTTGCTTCCACTAACTTAGGGTCCCAGGTCCACTGACGACTCTGTGATTATGACCTTCACCAAAGCAGTAGAAGTGAGCAGAGAAGCTAGGTCAGGAACAGAAAAGAGGCTCGGGAAGAGAAGAGTTACGTGATCAGCCTAATTCTAAGACAGCAGCACCTGCTGAGGTACTTAGAGGGCTGGTGGGAGAAGACCTCACTGGGGAAGGCAGCACTCAGAGCAACAGGGATCCTGTTCCTCTACCTCCCAGAAGTCTCAGTGGCCCTGGTGGGTCTTTCTGAGTCTCTCCCCTAGAGCGCTGCTTCCCCGGCACAAATGCATGGCACGGCACCATGTGTGCAGACAGCCCTGAGCATCCCTAGGCTGGTGCTGGCCCTGGGCATCCCTTTGCTGTCAGTCACCCCACCATCCTGTGTCTTCTAATGCCAGTTCATCCAGACTATACTTCTCAGGCTGCTTTTTACACAAACCAGAGTCTCAGTAATTCTTTATGTAAAAAGATAAAATCCATACTGGGTTTGGTAGCACATGGCTTTAATTCCAGCACTGGGGAGGCCGAGGCAGGCTTTCTGTGAGTTCAAGGATAGCCTGGTTTACGTAGTGAGTTCTGGGCCTGCCAAGCTTACATAGTGAAACCCGGTCTCAAAAAAGAAAGAAAGAAAGAAAGAAAGAAAGAAAGAAAGAAAGAAAGAAGGAAGGAAGGAAGGAAGGAAGGAAGGAAGGAAGGAAGGAAGGAAAGAAAGAATTTGCACTATCCAAATATAGTCCAAACTGTACATCACAGACCTGGGAAGATAGATTCTATGCCATTACACTGGTATAAACAGAACCTCTAATAGGGGGCTCCACAGACATGACAAGGTCCCTGTAGATGATGTCCCCTATACAGAAGTACAAGTCAAAGAGGAAAGGTTCTTTGTCATATTTTGCCCTGGAAGTTTGTGTACACTGGGCCTCGGGAAGAACTTGGTGCTGAGCATCTATGGTAGCCAGCTCTCTAGAAGCATCTAGAACATTCCTCTTGTGGGCATAAGAGTTTGGTCACCTTGAAATTCTCTTTCAAGCTATGTGGTTTAGCAATGAACTTTAGCAACTGGACCAGGTTATGGCACATTCTCTTTTTCTACAAACACCTTAGTGGTGATTGTATTTAAGACCTCCAGGTCTAAGAGCAGGTTTTTGTAAGAATGTGAATCCTAGCCTTCTCACAATCTGTACAATTTGTTTCTGACTTCCTGATTGCTCTTTGTATGTGGGTTATGGGCTTTGTTTTGGTTTTGTTTGTCTGTTTTGTTTTGTTTTTTTCCTCTACAAACAGCATTAACTTATCTTGCCCAGAGAAATATACTTTCTAGGTATATGTTACATTGTTGAACTGGTCAGAAGGCAAGTTCTAGTTGTTAAGTAATAATGATTTCTTGCACAAACAGCCATCAGTGGCCTATGTACATACCACGCCGGGCCTCCCTTCAGGCTGGGAAGAAAGAAAAGATGCTAAGGGACGTACATACTATGTCAATCATAACAATCGAACCACAACTTGGACTCGACCAATAATGCAGGTATGAAGATCACCATCCAACCCAGGCTCAAGGGCCGGGATGTACTTGACCAGCAACATCCTGACCTGATGATGCTAATGTCCTTTTCTGAAAGGCCTGTGTTTAAGGCCTCTTCTCACCAAAGACATGTATTACTCTCGGTAGAATGAGTATTTGCCTGAGGATGACTTTGGTCCTTGGATACATTTATTTTAGTGTGACCTCAAAGATACTTGCAGAAAGTGAGCCTATGGCCGTAGATAGCTCCCTTCCCCCATTCCCACGTCCCTTCTTTTCCCAAGGCTAGTTTTTATACTGGCCAGTGATTTGTTTTTATTTCTCTTGAATGTGTCTCCCCATCTTTACCCCCATGATTAGGTTTAATTATTTCCTCCATGCTGTAAATAGACCAAACCTTTCATTATGGCTCTGTGTGTTGTTGTTGTTGTCGGGGTTCATGCTCCTCATCACACACAGGGAGATCCTCATACAAAGCTAACCTGTTTTTGCCTCCAAAATAGCTTGCAGAAGACGGTGCCTCCGGATCAGCCACAAACAGTAACAACCACCTAGTCGAGCCTCAGATCCGCCGGCCCCGTAGCCTCAGCTCGCCAACAGTAACTTTATCTGCCCCGCTGGAGGTGAGAAGGCCGCCTCGTCTAACCAGGGTCATCTCTGTCCTGTGGCTCCTCTTCATTTGCTCTTCTCTCTAAACTGGACTTCATTCCTCAGGCAGCTCCATGCCGAGCAGTCGCGGGTTGGTGGTGAAGGCCGGCCTGAGACTGCGTCCATGCTTCTGTGCCTTGCCCCGCTAACATTCTGGACTCTGTCATAATCTTCATTCTCATTTGGCTGGTGCCACGCTTGGTGACGGGTGCCGTTCTCTGCTGGTCTTGTACCATTCCTGTTGTGTCTGCTCCCTCATCAGAACCCATAACTCTTCCAAGTAGCAATGCTTCTGTTGAGTTGGAGAATGCAGTTATTGCTTCGTTCATTTTTTTTTCTTTGAATGTAGGGTCTTCCATTGTGTGGGGTACATGTCTCTAATGTGTATTTTCATCTCTGAAGTCATTGCTGGACATCTGCTTCTGCGCTTTCCTGGTTATGTTTTAGTGGCAGCCCTGAACCTCACAAATGTCGCTCAGAAAAGCAAGGGAATTGATGAGTAAATTTAAGTACCCTGAGGCAAGCTCCTACGCAGTGGGAGTGGATGAGGGCACTTCTAGACTGGTGGGGATGTGGGGGGACAGCTGTCGTTCCAGGTGGCTGCCTCTACCGATGGAGGTGTCCTTCTGGACCCTAAAACCCAGCAGTGTGTCCATTAGACAAAAGGCTGTTTGAGAGCAGGAGCTCATCCTGCTCACCCTGAAATCTCCACCCATAAAAATGGTATTTGGGGCAGGCATGTTTGCAAAGAATCGTGACTATTCATCCTTGATACTGTTGCGGATCTAACCAAGAGAAAGGTGTAAGCTTAGGTTGGTTTGGAAGTAAATGGAGAAATGGGGTTTGGGGGAGTCTCTCCCTCGTCGCTGTCCAAGGAAGAGCTTCCTGCAGTACCGACTGCATTGTGGCATGCTGAACTGGCACATGGTGAAGAGTTCTAACACTCGTTATTGTTCCTTAGGGTGCCAAGGACTCACCCATACGCCGCGCTGTGAAAGATACCCTTTCCAATCCACAGTCCCCTCAGCCATCACCTTACAACTCCCCCAAACCACAACACAAAGTCACACAGAGCTTCCTGCCACCAGGCTGGGAGATGAGGATAGCTCCAAACGGCCGACCCTTCTTCATTGACCATAACACAAAGACTACAACTTGGGTAAGGCTGCTGCTTTTATTTGCCTCCATTTTCACCGTGAGCTCCGGTGAATTCCTTTCTTTTCTGACTCGGTACTCGTGGTCCTGGTAGAGGAGTTTCTTCACCAACTCTGAAGCAAGTATCCTGATGGGTGGGTGCTATGTCTGCAGATACAGATGTTAGCCACTGGGGTACTATACCAGCTTGGCAGTCCTGGAAAGCTCTGGTTTTAGTCATTTGTTCCATTTGCGGGGGCAAAGGTGGCCTTGGTATTGCTAGTCTTTTGGCCTCATTTTATCACACCCCGTGTTGTTGGTAATTGTATTGGGAATTAGGTAACGTCTTAAACTAATGTTTTCTCTATCTCTCTTTTGCTATACACATCTTCTACAAGAGGAGTCATTTTTCGCTCTAGTGCCCATTTCAGATCAGCATTTTCTCTTTCTGGGCTACACTTCCTTTCTTCTCCATGGACTAAAAGATTGCGTGTATGACTGCTGTTCGCAGGGAACGTTTTGACAAAACTGACTTCTCTTGCCATGCTGCTTGCTCTTTCACGTCTTCTGAAATCCCGCGTGGGAAAGAGCCAGTGTGTCGCAGTTGGGAGAAATAAGATGAAGCCCAGGTGAATGCCCCCCGGGTCCCCCAGTCAGCTCTCCGCTTCAGCATAGTCAGAGCGAGCCTTTGTAAGGCAGCATAGAGTTCTTTTAAAAGTCAGTATTCCTCTGTCACACCGTCGCTGGCCCTGTAATTCAGCCTGACTTGGTTCTCTTGTTTCCACTTGGTTTGGATGCAGCAGGAACTTCTTTTTCCTGCCTGTCCAATCTGATCGTATAGAGCAAGCTCGGGGATTAATGGTGCCCTTTTGGCATCTAATCTTCTTGCTCGGAACTCACGCGCGTGTTTCCCTGGGTTGCTCTTCCATCTTAGACCAACTGTACACACGTGCGCTCTCAATTCCCGTTTCTAGTTGTGGTGACTGTCCAGCTGATGGGACAGCAGTATTATGTTAAGGAAAAGGCTTCACCCAAGGTGACCCTGGCCTGGCTATCATTTACACTCAGTCTGTGGTGTAATGTTAATTCAATCCCTTGAGAATCGGTCTAGAAGGCAGTGTGATCCTGAAGTCCTGTGGACAGAGGTGCAGTGTGTCCCCACAAGGGCATTCTTGGCCACTGGGGTAGGCCTGCGCCTTCCTTGGTAGGATGTTTAACGTCCTTGGCTTCCACCACTAAATGCTAAGTAGCTACCATCACCCTCCCGATATACTGATGATCAGAAACTCAGCCGAATTTCCAAATACTCCACAGTGAGAAGCGCTCTCAGGGCCCTTCCCTGATTTGCAAAAAAGGAATTTACTTACCTGCCAAGAGCCTTCCCATCAAGATCTGATGACATTCATTTGGTAAGCTGATAACTACCTCTAAGGCATGGAATGACATGGAGGTTTGTTTGACTCACCTTCGAGTCGGAAGATAGCATTACAGGCTTGTGGGCTGGGAAGAAGAGAGGAGCTCTTTTGCAAATGGAACCGTGGAGATTGGTTTGAGGTCTTTTTATTTTTTATTTTTTTGTCAGTGACACAGAACCTCGGCTGTCTTTCTGGTGTTTCCATTTTCCACGGCGCTACTGGGGTTCCAAAGCTTTAGCCAGAAACTGGAGCTCCAGAGATACGGGATAAATATCATAAAAGTCAGAGGATTAGTGAATGGAGCCACTGTGGCTTGCCAACATAAGCTATGATTTTAGTAATGTGAACTAGCTTAGTAATCAAATCCCCTAACCTTTTCACAGCCTTCACGCCCCAGCTGCAGTAAGTGCAACTGGGCAGGTTTCATTTTAAATAGCACTGACTTTATTTATTGCTGGCACCAGTGCTAAATGAATCCTGCTCTTAATTACCAGTTATCTCTTTTTAACCCAGATTCTTACTATTGATTTGCCCACTTGGGCACTTAATTTATTAGAACGTTTCATTGCTGCTGCCATTGGAAATGCTTACGCCACAGCTGGGAATTCCTCGTTGCCTGTGTTAACTAACGCAGATGGAGACACCATTCAGCATTGTCACCCTGAAAAGCAAATTCAGAATTGCCTGTCCACCTCGGCAAAGGATGGAAGGAGGCAGGAACAGAAAAGACACTTTCTGGATTCAGGCATATGCGCAGTTGGCATTATGAGGTTACTCAGTGGCTGGATAGCAGCCCTCTGAGTGTTCTAACCGAAAAAGGAAAAGCAACCCTGGGAACAGTGAGAATATCCCTTCTTCACCCTTCCCCCTGTACTGTAGGTTCTTGAACTTCACTGGGGGCATGAGAAGGCGCAGGCCACTGTCCCCGTTATATACACTGAGAGACTGAGAGTCCGTTGAAGCGTGTCTACAGCACAGCCTTTACACACACGGGTGATGGAGGCCGTGTGCCAGCAGTCTAACTGGAATTAAATCTGACCACGTTTTTAAAAATTAATAATAATGGATGGTTTTGGCTTCGCCAACAGCAGTGCATGCTGGGAGTCCCTAGGGACCTCGGCCTTCGCACCCCTCTTATTAAGGGAACAGCTGGAAGCATGCGTGTTGGTGTATTGATGCCTCTCACAGGACAGGGCATCAAGCTGCTTCACAACAGCGCACTGTATGCCTTAAATTACAGCTACCCACGTTTGCACTAACAAAACCGGCTATAGCCTAGGTGTGATTGCTGAGAATAAAAGAAAAAAAGCATACAGGATTTTTTAACCAATTTGTATGCCTGTATTTTATGTATTTTTTTAAATCAGAAAATACCTTTTATTCTCTCTCTCTCTCTCTCTCTCTCTCTCTCTCTCTCTCTCTCTCTAATATACACACACACACAACACACACACCCTTCCCAAAGGAAATGGAGGAATAGCCAAGTGCATTTTATCATCTGCATGATTGGTTTCTGTTCCTACCATCAAAGATCTCATTAGTAACCCAACCTTACCATTACTTCAGGATTATCCGTCAGTGCTCTCAGGCCTTAGCTGCCTTGTCACGTGTCCATCAGCTACAGAGATGCCTACCTCCTTGAGTTGTCCGAGGGACAGTGGCTTCGGCGGTTCTTCCCACACATCCCTTACAGGTGGACTTCTGGCGGCTGCAGCCATTATTTTGATTATTGCTGGTACGATAAAATATGAGTCCCTGCCCCGGGGCCTGCCCGTGCTCTGAAGTCTGGTTTCCATGCAGAGCCGCTTTAGCCGCCCTGCAAAGCTGAGCTGTTGTAATGTTCTTGCTCCCTTCCCTTCCCTCCCCCAGGATCGGGTATTTCCATTCATCTTGGTTTCTCTTTCTTTTCTGCGTCACCTGTCTGTGGCCTGCAGAGCCAGTCGCCCGAGACGGCCGACTTCACTCATGGCTGGCCTTTCCTGTTAAAGTACCCAGAACCCCCACTTCCTAATAGCTCCCCTAGGCTTTCTGTAAACCTGGCTACTTGGGATTTCAAGGGTCCCGGCAGCTGTGGCATCGCCTGTCCCAGTACATCTTGTGAAGTTCGTTTAAGTCTTCTGTCCAGGTAACCACCTCCAGCTGATAGCCCGATGGTCCGCTTCTTGGCCTCTCTAAATGCTAAATCCGGGCATAATTCTGTGTGCCGCAGTATGCTACGCTGGGAATACTACATCTCAGCCTTTTGAAAGATGCATTCGCTCCAGGGTCAGCATCCGCCACAGAGTGCTCCGATGATTTATGTCTTCAATTAAAACATTCTCTCGCTTTCAGAAAACGAGGCCACGTGTACTGTTTGTGCTCTTTTATATTCTTGCCATTTCCAAAACCCTCTGACTTTGTTATAATTCGGTGCCCCTGGCTTTCTCCGTTGGTTCGGGAAATTGATGAAGCAGTAAACCTTCTGATAATTTGACAGCAGTGCAGCCTGCCTTCACTTTGATGAGATGGAGCTAGTGTGTCAGATGTCTCAGTGGTTTGCTTTTTACCTTGGGTTGACGGTGTTATTGTTGTGGTTGACTGGGCATCATTCTGAGTTTTATTGTTTTCTAATCTCTCAAGTGTAAGAGCCGTGGATTTTCTAAGCCTCATCGCATTCTAATTGGCTTCTATGTAAGTGAGGGGCAACTCCCAGCTCTGGCAAGTCAGTTGGGGGAGCTGGGATTCTGATACTGTTCTCAGCTAAAGAAACATACACAAGGAATGTTGCAAGATTGGATGTCTATTTTTTTGCAAACCATAAACCATGACCCAAGATGTCAGAGTATATATTTCTCATCCATTGATCCCCACACACACACTACTGGCCTCACATCCTTTAAGGAAAAGAATCTTATCAAGTTTTATGAATGAGAACCTCACCATCAGAACTCAGTCAGGAGTTTCATGCAGGTTGCCTGCTACCACACATATGATGACGCATTTCATCTCTAGAATAGCACATGGGCTATCTGGTTAGACAAATTCAGAAAGATTTGGGGACACCCAAGTACTAAGGAATGCTATTCTTAAAGACTCAGTGTTTAGAGACCCTGAACACTCACCCTGTCTCCATCTCTGGGGAATAGCCATGGATCCTCCATCCTGGTTGGATTTCCTCCTGTATCTTTGCTAAGTCTTGGGGAAACAGTTAATCTCTCTTTGAAGTGTTTGTTCTTCTTTCCTGAGACATGGGTAGCCAAGTTTCCTCTACCAAGCAGAAAGCTGGGATGCCTCCCAGGTGCCTGGAAACACGGAGGAAGGGAAGGTGCCAGTGAGGGTGCGCAGGGAGTCCCTCTTAACAGCTGCCGTGTACATTTTTCCTGCAGGAAGATCCACGCCTGAAATTTCCAGTACACATGCGCTCAAAAGCATCTTTAAACCCCAATGACCTGGGCCCTCTTCCTGTGAGTATGCTTCAGAGACATGCAGTGATCTGGAAATGTCTGCTTACCTTCTCAGCATTCCTGGAGAGGTTGTATGTCTCCTCCAGGCTCTCTGGGTCTATTGGTCGGTATTCCTTAGAAGAGCTGATGTTAGGACAGTCCGAAAGGCACATTATAGTGTATGCAATACCAGTACTTGTAAAAGAAGGCTTTTCATTACTAGCCCTTGGTAGAAGTTCGCTTTTGATCTAAGACATGTACAAGAGGTGCACACTGCAGGTGCCACTTTTAGCAGCATGCATTTATTTTGTAACTTAGCAACCACCAGCTACAGCCATACTGCTAAGTCATAGGAACAAACCCGTGAATATACTGTGGAAGGAAACGGCACCAATAACCACAGGAAGTTAGTCTCCAAGTCCTTTAACCTATAGATTTTTTTTAAAGTGTTTTTCCCTTTGTTGTGGATTCTTTATAAACCTCCGGGGCAGGGGGGGGTGATTTTTGTTTTGTTTCGCAATTTTGTTCTCTTTGGGAGTATGACATAATTTGGTCTGTACTGAGTTTGGGATGAAACTTTTACTGTCTGCCTTTTTCTACAGCACACTCTCCATAAAAAGTGCTGAAGGTGCAGAGATTTGGTTTGGTTTGGATTTGATTTGGGGTTCTAGTTATTTTATTTATTTATTATTTTCTTAGACAGGCCAGGCCAGCCTGAAGTCAAAATCCCTCCGCTGTCACTTCCCACATGCTAGGGTAGCTACGCAGACCACTACGCCCAGCCTCTAGCACTGTTTATAAATGGAAATGGTTGTTCTCTTCCAAGGAAAAGAGCCTTGTTGTATGATAGACTATAGCAACCGTTGGGACACAGAGTTACGGGCTAGTCTTCATCTGTAAGATTCGCAGTTAACCCTCGCCATCCAGATATCATTGGTTCCTTTCTTCTGAGGGAAGCAATCGAAAGGGAAGCATTTAAAGTATAAGAAAATCTCTTGGGCTGGGGGGATGGCTCAGTGTATAAGTGTGCTTTCTGCACAAGCATAAAGACCCACGTTTGAATTCCTGGAACCCACGTGCAAAGCTAGACTTGGCCACGTGCACACCTGTAGCCCCTGGTGCTGGAGGTGGGAGACAGACTAAAGAGTCACTGGCGCTTACTGGCTGCTAGGCTAGCTCCAGGTTCAGTAAAAGATCTTCTCAAAACAGGACACCAGTGCCCTCCTCAGACTTCTGCATACATGGGCACACACACACACACACACACACACACACACACACACACACAAACCCCCGCCCCAAAAAAAGAAAGTCTATTGTTTGACTCTTTTCTATTTCTGAGTCAGTAAGGCACACTGACCTTGTTTTAAAAAGTACCCAGATGTTAGGGCTGTGACTCAGCAGGTAAAGCACCTGCTATGGCAGTGTGGGGACCGGAGGTGAAGAGCCTTAGAGCCCACAGCAAAGCCCACAGGTGATCCAGATGGGTGAGGAGGCAGAGACTCAATGCCCAGAACAGGCTGGCTAGCAGACCAGTCAGAAAGGAAAGCTCCAGGCTCTCTGAGACTACCTTCCTTGTTAGGATAGAGAGCCGTCAAGGAAGGCAGCAGACATCAACATCAGACCCCACACTCATTCCCACACTTAGGCATACGCACACCTATATACCTATACACACACCCAGATGTGTACTCACAGGCAGGGAGGAAAGGCTGGTTGGTTGTCCAGAGCTTTCAGTTCTTCTGTTTAAATAGTGAGAGTCCTCAGCACTGGGTTACTCGGCCACTTAATAAAGAATAAAGCCACTGTGTGCTGCATGTGTAAACGAGCCCTCCTTCCCCTTCCCTGAAAGTACACAGTAGGTGTTTTAACTAAATGAACTCTCCATACTGAACTCTTTAAAAATATATCTTAGATTTATTTTTTATGTGTCTTATTGTTTTGCCTGGATGTGTATATTTATACTATGTGTATGCCGGGTGCCTACAAAAGTCAGAGGAAGGCATCAGAGCCGTTGGAGCTGGAATCGTGGATGGTTTTGAGGCACTGTGTGGGTGCTGGGAGACAAACCCAGGTCCTTGGCAAGAGCATCAAGTGCTTTTAATGTCTGAGCCATCTCTCCAGCCCCCTTTTCTGAATTCTTGAACAGGTAACCATAGAACACCATTTCTGGTCCTTCATACAGGGATAGCTTGAGCTGACGTGACTTGTTAGCTGTGCCCCCGAGTTAGCATTGTTTGACATAGTCTCCATATAAAAGTGTCCTTAGCAGGGAAGAGGAAAGAAGAGTCCTGGAGAATTTAGTGTCGCCTTGGGTTTAGGAACCACTAACTGATATCTCTCCTCTCTCCCTCGTTTTCCTGGATGCTAGCCCGGTTGGGAAGAAAGGATCCACTTGGACGGCCGGACGTTTTACATTGACCATAGTAAGTAGAGCCTGCTGTGCTCACGGATGTGACAGGGCACCGGAAGGGGAGGGTAACACACCGTGACAGTGAAGCTTTGTCATTTTACTCCCTGTCCAGGTAGCCAGGTGTTGTGTGGCGAGAATGAGCCCAGAGAGTCAGTGCCCTCATACGGTACTGTGCCTTCGCTCCAAGTCTGCCTCAGAGTAGTCCCTTGAGCTTTCGCCCAACCTGACCTTGTGACCTATTAACGTTTTTTTTTTTAATTAAAAATTTTTCATTGACAGTCCTTTGATTTTTTTTGCGCTTTTAATAAGTACACTCTGGACATAGAAAATAAGATTAGAAGTGATGACTTAGCTTGAAACAAATCCACGTGAGCGGTGTTTTGGGCTGCGTATGCTTTCGGAAGCCCGCCTTGGCGGAGTTCCCGTTCTGACCTTATTTTCTATCGTAGCATGTGTCCTTGCACCCGGCACACTAATGATACGTGTAGTGTATTTGCTGAGGACGTTTGCTTTAGCACCTGTGGATACACGTGTGCTTTCTCATCTCATCTAAAAGTTAAACTAATCAATGTTTGCTTTTAGCCAGAGAGTTGGTTTTGGAGGGTTGCAGGGAGGGCGGGGTTTTTTCTTGAGACAGTTTGTTCTTCATGGAATTATATTTGTATATCCCTAAAACTTTGGGAGGGAGGGAGGAAGGAGAGAGAAAAAAGTGTAAAATAAGGCTTCAAACAAAGTTCAAATCCGAGTGCAGTCAGTAGTATTTAGTTCTGTGTTTTCATTTAGTCTGCAAGCAGGAAGCGAGCACAGGTCTCAGGTTTTGATAACTGAACAGAGTATACTGATGAGCTTTTTGATGAGAAGTCTCACCCCAGGCAGTGCTCATGTACAGGCTGGTGGCCATCTCAGCGGGGGGGGGGGGGGGGGGGGGGGGGGGGGGGGGGGGGTAACTCCTCTGAGTGTCACAAGGGGACCTAGTATACTCCAAGAACTTGCCTTCAGACATGAGGTTTAGTGGGTTTTGAAGTCAATGAGAAGGCCCAGCCAAAACCCAGAATATTTAGGGGGTTGGGCCACCCTTGAACTTAAGTCAGATTATTTCGAGCTATATAAACTTTGTTTTTTGTCTTTGTTCAGAAAAACAAATACCGAGTTATGTACTTTCCAGCACCGTACTGCGAGCCTATCGTTGTCAACACAAACACTCTCAATGTATGGGCATGCGTTACCTTCCCCCGGAATACTGTTTATTCTGAATTCTGAGAATTTTCTAACTGGGGCTAGGTGACACTCTTAGTGCCACTAAAAGCAGTTCTCCAGAATTTGCCAAGCCTTGCCCTGTGCAACCATAAAGGGATGCGTGGCAGTGACACCATTCTTCTGCCCTTCCCTCAAAATCTAACCTGTCAAGTAGAAAATCCCTGCCATTTTCAAAGGCTTATTCAGGTCAGTGGGTACTCCCCAAAACAGCTTCAATCACCTGATGGATACGATTTAGGAATTTCTTAGCTTCAGAGTGAAGTCCCTCTTCCCAAACAGGTAGCTAGCAAAACCCACCATTCCCCTGCGCCCTCACCCTGCCCACAGGTCAGGAATGAGGATTCACAGGTATTTCCTACACTAAAAGTGCTTGTTCACCCAAGAGGCAGACTTTCAGCCCTGGATGCTCATGTTTGAACAGTTTGGTTCACTTGGTGGATATTTATTGATGAGGATTTATTTATTGATATTTATTTATTGATTGATGAACTCCTTCTGGGTAAAGTGCTAGAAACATATCTGGAATGAAATCTCTGGCACACGTGGGGAAAATATTTTTCTTACAAACCAGATGTGCCCAGAAGCTGAGTCATTGGCGGTTGTCTCTCAAATACAAAAGTTAAAAGAGAAATTCCATTAATTTTTGTGTTACCAAACCTATGGGCAGCAGCTGCAGTGGCTGTGTTTCTCATCCTTTGCCTCCTTCTTGTCATTTGATTTGAATTTCATATCTCAAAGGTAAAAGGCGTGTTTCGATTCAGAAGTTCTTCTTTAAGACACCGGCTAACTGTCCACCCCTCATTCACCGACTGACAATACTTGACTGCAAATCCACTCGGTAGCTCAGGAAAATGTGTGTGGTTCTAAGTGCTCCGACTATTTGTGAGCGACTTTATTTTCACCATTAGCATCATTAAGTCATCACAAAGATAATGGTGGATTTTGCTAGACAACTATTTGAAAATAGGGACTTCATTCTGAAGGTAAATAAACTCCTAAATCTTATCCAACAGCCAATTAAAGCTGTTTTAGAGGTACCCACTGGAGCTCCCATTAAATGTTGAGGCATGCTCAGCAGTGGAGAGGAATTGTGGCATTGGACACCTATAACCCCTGTCCTCAAGGGCCCATGTCCAGTAGAAAGTGCCAGAAGCTGTCTTACATATTATGTTGGAAAGTGAGCCTGTACTCTGGGTGTTCAGCCTGATGGTGGCTGAAGATGGCTTTCTGAGTTGTGTTCTCTTTCAGGCAGATTTTGAGCAGGAATCACCCTAAAGAGCTCAGTGGAAATCAATTTCCAGATATGGCCAGCAGCTCCCACACTGGGAATGGGGACTGCCCCGTGGGCTCTGTCTCTGAAAACTCTAAAGCTTTAGCCATGATTTGTTTGGGTGTGAATAGACATTTGCAAGTGCATGACTGGTCATACTCTACCATCCCCAAGGGCGACGGTTCTCACCTATCAGATATTTGCATTACAATTCATAACGGTAGCAGAATTTACAGTTCTGAAGTAGCAACGAAAATAATTTTATGGTTAGGAAGATCACCACAACATGAGGAACTCTATTCAAGGGTTGCAAGCATCAGGAAGGTTGAGAGCCACTGCCCAAGGGAATGCAGTCCTGTTCTGCCTGGTCAGCATGTAAAGAGGCTGGCGTTTGTGCTGCAAACAAGAAGAGCTTCAAAGGGCATTCCCGGAGTCCAGCGACAGTGGTCAGAGATATTCCTGAGAATAAACTTGGAGCAGACCTGTGGAGGAAGTCTTGAATAGAGGCTAGTTAGGCCATGGCACTGGAAGTCTAGAGCGTAGACTAGTCCAGGAAACAGATGCCAGAAGAGACGTGATGGCAGTTGATGGTCACCAAGGACAGGCAAGGACATGGGCGGGTCAGTGGATTACGACCCTGCTTGTGTCACTGAGACAGAGACCTGGCACAGATAGTTTAAAAGTGGAAGAATTTCATTGGGCTCACGGTTTCAGAGGTCTAGCTGGTCCTTTGTTCCATTAGTTCTAAACCATCATGTCAGTAGAAAAATATGGCAGAGGCTATTCTTCATGGCAGACAGGAGGAGAGTGACAGAATGTGTAGGCTGATGGACCTTCTCAGTTCCCTTTTAATCCATCCTAGCACCCAGCTTGCAGGAATAGAGCTGCCCACATTCAGGCAGCTCTTTCCACAACCCCCTAGGTTAATCCTCTCTGGAAAAGCCCTGACAGACACACCCAGTGGTTGACTTCACTGATCTCAATTCAGGCAAATCAACCATCCGTGTTAATCCTCAGGCTGCTGACTGGAGTGTCCGGTTACATGGGGCACTCCTTGGCATGGGTGACCACCTGCTCAGGAACCTAAGGGGACCCCCGTGCAGGTGTCAGGGCTGGAGTCTGGCATTCAGTCTGGTCATAAGATTTGGAACTCCTCGTGTGTTGGGAGTGGTTGGTTTGATCTCCTGTTTTGGTGACAAACATCCAGCCACCACAGACACGACCCAAGCTGTTATCTATACAAAGACACGGTTCTATCCAGCTGCATCCAGCTGTAACCCACTGTATTCTGTGACCTATATTTGATTGGGTTTGATTTTCTGTCATCTCAGTAGCAGCTTTTACTTTCCACGCTCTGCTCGTTTTAGAAATTAGACAGCCTAAAATACCACCTGAGTCCGTCAGTGTTCCCTGAAGCAATTGAGCTTTTCACTCATCTACTTTTTCTACCCAACCAAAAGACATAAATAAGCATAAATAAGCATTGTAAAGGTGTAGCTCAGGGTTTTGATGTTTATTTTGTGCTTTCATGAAGTTAATAATGTCAGGGTTTAAACATTTAGCTGAGATGCTTGTTAAAGTTGTGTCCGCGAGTTACCATCAGCTCACCGGCAGGCCAAGAGTGAACAGGGTGGGTTTTCAGGGAGAAATAATCCCCCCCTTTCTTTCTTTTCACCTTAGAGGTACTGAACCCCAACCTGCCCTCTCCATGCCATCTGAATCCCCCAGCCCTCCACGTGGTGCCATGTATACGCAGGCCTCTCTGACGCCTTTTAATCATGCACAGGCGAAAGCACTCCCAACCCAGGCCGTGGCTCTACACCACCACCTGGGCCACCGAGTGATAGGGCAGCTGCTGAGAAGCGGTGTTGTTCACACCACTCTCTGCTGAGCAAGGTTGCAAGGAAACCCTTTCGAAATCTGGAATCCTGTCAGCTGTGTCTGATTCTTTTCCTTTTTTCTTTGTGACCGCCTCTGCTGCTTCGATTGTACGGGCCTGTAAGAGGTGCATGGAGTGGATTATTCATTTGTTCAATATAGAATCCTTACTTGAAAGCCGTTTTGCAACATCATAAGCAGATTTAAGAAGTATTTGAAATGAGAACAAAAAAAAATACATGTGTATGCGTGTTAACTTCCTAGGGAACTAAAACTTCTTAGGCCTTTTGGAAATCAAGATCAAGTTATAAATCCTTGCGAGTAAAGGGGTTTGTAATTGCAGATTTACCAGACTGCCCGCTAGAAACTGCAAAGAAGTGGTCTTAATTTTGTTGCGCATTTTTAATTTCTTTTAACTAATCATGTATATGTTTGCCATGGACAGCAGAGTTACCTTCTAACTCCCAATACTAAATGCTCCCAGGGGTCAAGCAAAAGGGGCTGGATGGACTTTGCAGAAGGAAATCCTTTCATAAACATCCTGTCTACAAAATGAATTGGAACTAATGCACTCATGCTTTTAATGTTTTCAGACAGCAAAATCACTCAGTGGGAAGATCCGAGACTACAGAACCCAGCCATCACCGGTCCGGTTAGTATTCTCCTGTTCCTCCCCTTCATAGGAGCTGTGGCTGCTTCTAACACACTCTTCTTGTTTATTCCTTATTACTGTGATGTCTAGGAATGAGTAGCTTAAGATTCAGCCCAGCTCTTCAGTGAGTTGTCCAAATGGGGTACAGCTGCCTGGGCCTTTGCTTCAGACTGGAATTACAAAGGAAGAGAAAATGGTGTTATAATAGCAGATCGAAACGTTTTCTTCCTGGTCCCCTCTGAAAGGATAGTTTAAATGTATAACGGGATTTTTCTCCTTTTTTTTTTTTTTATAACAGTAAAGCAGAGTTTGGTTGAAGATATTTTAATATAAGCTTAAGCATGAGAATTAAGAGAAAGAGAGGCACTCGGAAAAAAGGAGAGAGATACCTTTACCTAAATGTGGATACAGGGTCCTTAAGAGAGGCATTCAGCTGCGCAGTGGTGGGGCTCACCTTTAATCACAGCAGTCAGGAGGCAGAGTTAGGCAGATCTCTGAGTTCAAGGCCAGACTGATCTGCTGGGTGAGTTCTTGAACAGCCAGGGCTACACAGAGAATGCCTGTCGAGAGAGAGAGAGAGAGAGAGAGAGAGAGAGAGAGAGAGAGAGAGAGAGAGAGAGAGAGAGAGAGAGAACAGGTATTCATCTTTATAGGCTGCAAAACCAAGCATTTATAGGATGCTGTCATAGGATGCTGTCATTTGTTTTAGGCCAAGGATAATAAGTGCACGCCAATCAACTGGAGTCTGTTCCTCCTTTAAAAGCCCGTTGAGAAGAGGTAGCAAAGCTGTGGGTCACGCATCTTCCATTCTGCTGACTCCCTGACTTTGTCCTAGTGCTGCTCAGACATGCTGGCTAGAAAATGCCCCTCCAACAGGGGTATGATCCCCTGAGATTTCGCAGCACACTGTATTCATAGGCAGAGGGAAAGTCCTAAATCCTTGCATGCTAGGGACAAACTCCTCAGCAGGAAGTACATGGAAATAAGTTGGGGCGATAGAGACAGGAAATTAACTGGGACCAACAGGAGATTGCAAATTTGGGTCCTTTTAAAATAATTCAAGAGCACTCCAGCACAAGTTTTGGCCCCCTCAGTGTTTTTTCATTGACAGGGGGAGGTACTCGCGAGGCTCCTCCCCCCTCCCCCTCCCCCAGCCCCGAAACTATTGGCAGTTAATGGTTGCTAGAGGTAGGAGGCAGGACGATTTCTTCAATGGTGTAGCCACAGATAAACTGTTTCCATTCTGGGAAAGTCCCAGTTAAACTCAGTGGGTCACAAACAAGGAAACCCACCAAAGTAGGAAAGAGGCGTGTTAGAAAGACGTGTTTTATCAGGAATGAGCGTGGGTTGAGGAGGGGAGCATGAAAATGACTTACGTTCATTATGCACAATTGTGAAACTGTCGAAGAATTTCAGGACAATTCTAGAGCCAATGGAACCAATGTGCTGAGCAAAGAGTCTTAAGAGCTGGAGGGAAAGCACTTAATTTTATGGCATCTATGTGATCTGTTTGAAATTATTCTTAAATCGCATGCTCATTTCATTTGGAAGCTTAAGTCTGACCATACCTCAGCAGTTTTCTATGGAAAGCCCTGTTAGAAGAAAGCTCATAACCTTTCCTCCACCGAGCTTTGGGAACACTCCCTCACTACGAATGGCTTCTTTGTGACAAAGTTGTAGCCACAGTCGGCCTTTCAGTGTATGTCCCCAAGGTTGTTGAAAACAAGAGGAACTACAGACATTACTTTCTCTAGAGACAGACTTGCCAAGCTCGGCTCTTTGCAAAGATTTCCACCGTTTGTCCGTTACCCACCTCTGCTCAAATAGTACTTACTGGTTATTGAAAGTTATTTAGCCAGATGTGGTGGCACACATCTGTAATTCTACTCTTGGGAGGCTAAGAATCAAGAGTTCAAGGCCAGGCTGAGCCATTTAGCAATATTCTTTCTGTCTTTTAAAAAGGAAGAAGATTACTTGACATCCTAAGCTCGAGCAAATCAGTCCCAAGAAATCTCTTTTAACAGGAGCCTTGTTTATTCCCCTTATTAGAAACAGTGCTTCTTTCTGTAGGAATATGGGTAATTACAATTTAGGAAAGACATTTGGCTGTCGTAACACTCATTTCTAAATAGTTGGGAATTTCCATATAATTTTTCTTCTTCACTTATAGATTAAATAGGAATCTTCCTTTTATCTATGAACATATAAGAAAGGTCTCTTACTTTATTACATGGTAACTAGAGAACATTGCCTGAAATGTTCATGGACAGAAAATTGAGTGTGGATTTTTGATTTGGGTTTTGGTTTCCTGAGCTAGGGTTTCCTTATGTGGCCTTGACTGACCTAGAACTCACATGGACCACTGTGCCTAGAAGCTATAGAATTTTTATGATACTTCTGACTTCCTTGAAGGCATGGTCATTATTATAAAATGATCTGTTTGTGTTTTTAAAAATATATTTATTGTCTTGGGTTTGGTAGTACATACCTCTAATCCTAACACTTGGGAGGTAGAGGCAGGTGAATTTCTGTGAGTTCAAGACAGACCTGGTCTACATATTGAGTTCCACGCCCATCAGAGCTATCTGGTAAGCCCCTGTTTGTAAAAAAGAAAAAGAAATTTGTGGGGGGGGGGGGGGGGGAAAAGCCTTTATATGTCAGTCAGGAAAAACCTGAGTGTTAAGTGATCACACATGCTTGCAGTGTGGTTTTCCTGGCAGTAGAATCCTATCATGATAGCATCAAAATCTATATATCAGTTTTGTCTGAAATTCATCTAAATTATATTTGCGTTCTCTCTTCGTTAATATGTGCCTGGTGTTTTGTCCCTTAATTTGCAGGGCTTTTTCTTCTTTTCTTACCTTCTATACAAGTGTTCTAACTTCCCCTTTTTGTTTTGATAATATACTTTTTTTGTGTGTTCTCGTTAAGGTAGTGTGTATTAGTGTTCCGTGTATGTGTACATTTGTGTGTATGCACCACGTGTGTGAGATCAGAGGTCAGCATCCAGTGTCGTTCTCTGTCACTCTCCAACTTAGTCTTTGAAGCAGGGTCTCAAGCTAAGCACAGAGCTCACTGACTTGGCAATACCAGGTAGCCAGTGAGCTTCAGGGGTCCCTCCTGTCCTGCTCCCCAGCCCGCTCCCCAGCGCTGGAATTCTAGGCACACACCACCACCCGGCCTTGGTCTCGGATCTGCAGTCGGGTCCTCAGACTTGCAGAGCAAGCTTTACTGAAAAACTATCTTCCTACCCCCACTTAAAAGCTTTAAATAACCTTTGACATAAAAATAGAATTAATCATTCTCTTCCCTCCTGACTTTTTCTGGGTAGAATTTTAAACCCACCTTGTCTTTATAGTGCCTAAATACTTTAAATTCCCCACCCCACCCCCCTGCCATAGTCAGTCATTACATAATTTTACCTTTAGGGAAATAACCTTTCTCCCCATCTTGGTTTTGCACGCACCCCCACCCCAGATTTTCTTCCGATACAGTACCTCATGGTTTACTGGCTTAGCAAACCCAGAGCTGCTGCCCTGCCCACAGTACAGAGGCACTGAAAGTGGGAACATCCCTAGTCCGGTTGGCCCTTTCCCTCAAATGCTCAGTTCTGGGGTTTTTTTTCTTCTGTTTTGTTTTTGTTTTATATTCTCCCATATCCTCTGACCTTCAAACTGGTGATAAAAAATTGTTGCCAATCTGATTGCCATGTCTTTGAAGGCAAATATTTTTTTCCTGTAGTGATTTTTTTTTAATTTGCTCATTATCTTTGATGTTCTGCAAGCTCACAGTCGCATGCCAATTTGTGGATTCCCCTTTGTGGGTCTTACCTGTGATTCGGAATCACCCGTGGGTGGGGGTGGGGGTGGCTATACCCGTCCTCTGGTCTGGCAAACCCTCAGCCATTCTTGATTCACACACTGCTTTCCCCGTCCTTCCCCATCCTCACTCCAGCCAAGCGTCTGCATTGCCTTCCGTCTTTGTTCTTGTCCCTTCGGAGTCAGTCTCCTGCCTCCTTTCCTGGCTGCATTTTGAGTTGTTACTTTATTCTTCTAGTTAATCCCTTCTTAAGGTTTTTTACAATTTTTTTTAATGTGTTCATTGGGCCTATTAAGTGAGCGTGTTCAATTGTTCAAAGTTCTTTGGGGTCTCATAAGTTTTCTTTTTCTTTTTATTTCTGTATTTCCTTTTAAATTATCCTTTCATATCTTATCATAACGATACTGCAGAACATCCTCTCTCTGATATTCTCTTCTCTCTGGTCCTAGGAGCATTCAGTCTCCTACTTGTTATGTCTAGATGTTCAAAACACTCGTGTATTGTCTGGGTGACAGTTGTGCATGCATGTGTGTGTATGTGTGAGTGTGTATGTGTGTGCTCGCGTACACCCACACAGCCACAGGCACTATTTCCCCCCCCCTTGGGAGGCTTTTAAATTCCTGGCCAGCAGTTGCAGTCACTTTCTTGGCCTGGGTTTATGCCACCTGATTAGAGTAACTGTGGCCCTCACACCCACTTGGATACAAGCATGAGGTGTGAATTTATTCTCGTCTGCTTCCTTTAGAATGTCTACATTTACATCCCTAGATAGAGATACAGTTCCTTCTAGGTTCCCTGGGCCTGAGGTTAGCTTCCCCATAGCCTTTTTAGTTCTAAGCCTAGGCTGGTCTCAAATTCATGGTCATTTGCCTCAACCTCTCAGGTGCCACCTAGCTAGGATATTGAAACTTTTGGATAGTTGTATCTGACTGAGACCTCGAGCCCACCCTCACACCCCTCCCAATGGAGTTACCTTCGCTCCATAGAGAAGGCATTCAAGTTTAGAGGAATTCTTGCCCAAGTGTCCTAGTTTCATTTCTGCTACTGTGATAAATAGCTTGACCCAAAGTCACCTAGGGAAGCTTACAATTCAGGTTATAGACTGCAACATGATTAATAAAAACCCGGAGACAGATATTGAGGTTATACCTGAAGGTCAGAAAAGCGAAACAGCCAGCCGCTGGCTCTTACCTCTACCTCAGTCTGAAATGGCGATCCTGCCTCCAGGAATCTCAGAATGAGAGTGTGTGTGAGAGCGGTCTCCTCCCGTCTTATATTCCTCTCTAGTGCTGGAATTAAAAGCATGTACCACTACTGCCCGGTTTCTATGGCAAACTAGTGTGGCTACTGGGATTACAGGTGTGTGTCACCACTGCCTGGTCTGCATGGCTGACCAGTGGGGCCGTTTTACTCTCTGATCTTCAGGCAAGCTTTATTTATTAAAATACAAATGAGGTATCACTACAACAGTCTACCAAGTGAGAACTTGAAGGCAGGCCCGCTTGCTGTTCCATACAGCATTGCTTCCAGCCACGAGAGATGCTGCATGCTGACTCACAGAGGCTCATCCTTAGCTAGCTTCCCAACACAACCCAGAATCATCTTCCCTGGGAATGGTGTTACCTACAGTGGGCTAGGCCCTCTTCTAAAAACTGACAATCAAGACGATCCCTAGGCAAACACAACCCAGATCTGATTTAGGCAATTGCTCAAGTCAGAGCCAGCCAGGACACCAAGTAAAAGACAGACCTTGTACGTCTTCAGTCTGAATCCTTTCTGAAATGCCATTGACTCAGAATTCCCACTCCTTGACACCTGCTGCCCTTTCTGCCTCCGACGTTTCTCTCTACAAGTTATTATGTTGGTTTTGTAGTGCTGGGGGTGAAGCCTAGAGCCTTGCACTTCCTAAGCGCTCTCGTTGCCGCTGAATTGGGGCCCCCATCGCTTGGTGTTTTGAGACAGCATCTTAATGTATAGTCCAGAATGGTCTTGAACTCACCATCATCCTGCCACTGTCCCCGAGTAAGGAATTCCTAACATGAGTAGCATGTGTGGCTTCCCACAAAGACTTTTCAAGTATCATTTGGAGTTGTGGGTTAAAGTACCATAGCCTATAACACTTTGGCTCCAGGAAAGACAAATGATACGATGATGAGATGATGAAAGATGCTCATATCTTGGTACCTCTGTGTGTTGCCCTGACTCATAACTCTGGCAGAATTCACGCCAAACACATACTGGTTTGTACACCGCGATCCCGAGATTCCTTGGCTATCAGTCTAGTTGTGCGGTTATCCCTCATCACTTTGAGGACTTTACCCTTTCTCGGTGGAGACATTATTATGCAGGTTTTCTGTAAAAATACAGAAAATGAGTACTTAAGGTTTGCAGTTCATGAAAGTCTGCCAGCATTGGCTCGCTGTACGTACCATTTCAGACATATGTTTACGTTATCTATGCGTTTGAAACTCTCTTGCAGGCTGTTCCTTACTCCAGAGAATTTAAGCAGAAGTATGACTACTTTAGGAAGAAATTAAAGAAACCTGTGAGTAATCAGCCCTTGGATAAGCTCTGTGTCTTACTCTGTTCCCCTCACCAACGTTACCTCATTCAAATAGCCTGTTTGTGATTTGTCTGTGGACACTTCCCTCTCTTCCCTGCCCTTTGGTCCACCAAGAGCTTCAGTATGAATTTGCTTTTTAACAGCGGTCATAAGCGAGATTAACTCAGTATCACCTAGCACATCACCTGAAGGGCAGTTGCTTATGTGAGTCATAAGAAGGCATATGATTCTTTTTTTTAAAAAAAAAAATATCTAATTTTTTAAATATTTATTTACTATGTTTACAATATTCTGTCTGTGTGTATGCCTGCAGCCCAGAAGAGGGCACCAAATCTCATTACAGATGGTTGTGAGCCACCATGTGGTTGCTGGGAATTGAACTCGGGACCTTTGAAGAGCAGGCAATGCTCTTAACCTCTGAGCCATCTCTCCAGCCCCAGGCATGTGATTCTTATGGAATAGAAAATAAGTCAAGACCAGAGAAAAGAAACCTGGGGAAACCACACTGAGGGCATCTCCTTGTAGTCAGAGGTGCAATTTTAACTCTGCAACATGGATGTTTTAACGTGAAGTTGACAACATGTAATAATACTCGGTAGTGATGAGCCCAAGGATATTCACAATTCTCACTAGCAGTGTACAACCATGAGACCCGGAAGGCTTTTCCGTTTTGCAGTCAGCATTGAGTTGGCACTGTGTTTGCTGTTGGCATGTCTTCTCACGGCCACCTTTGTGTCCTCGGTACCCATTTCCTCTCTGGTGTGGGCCTTAGTTGTGCCCTCAGTTTGCTCAGAAACTTTGCGGCTCTGGCAAGGAGAATGTGAGCCCCACCATAACTCCTCCTTTGTCCGAGGCTGCCTCCCCCAGTCTGCTCCCTCCAGCTGATGTCTAGTTCTGAGCTCTCTCCTGTGGTAGAGGGATGCTGGCAGCCTCTGAGAGCAGAGAATCCACCCTCTGTCCCACTGTTGGAGCCTCTTTGCCCTTGAAGCTCACAGTGGGGCATACAGTACTCTTACCTTGTGAGCCATCTGTGTGTCCTCCAGTGACAAGGAGCTCCAGGGCCGTTGCCCATCTAGGGCAAGACTGGCCTGGGTTTCATCCTTCCAGAACGCTGTTGGCATACCTCACTTAAGTACTGGGTATCATTCAGTCAACTTTGGATTTGGAGATGCTTCTCCCAGACTTAGTAGGACGAGGGTCCCACTCCCCTATGACACACAATAAACTTGCAGGCATCATGGCTTGCATTTCCCAGCTGCAGTCCCTACCACAGATAAGGCTAGTTCTAGCTTGCCTGGGGGTTGTTACTTAACGGTTTAATTACCTGGGATTAAGTCTGTCTTTTGATGGAACCAATATCCGGAGATGCCTGTCAGCAAAGTGCCCGTATCCACAAAGAGATAAGGATGGGTTTCAGGGCTCAGCAGATGTTCTCCCAAAGACGTGTTGCTGATTTGGCCTGAGCAGATGTGAATAGATGCTTCTGTGTGTCCCATCTTAACACAGTAAGGTTCCCATCTGTGTGAGGACAAATCCATAAAGGAGAGACTCCCTGCGGGTCCAGTCGGCACTGCGCATTTATCTAAAAGCTGTCATCGTTTCTACCCTTGTGTTATTTTCCATTATGGGAGGGTATGTGTGTGTACACGTGTACGTGTGTGTGTGCGCGCGTGTTCATACCGTATGCTCACTAGCTTCTCTTTTTCATTTAGGCTGATATTCCAAACAGGTTTGAGATGAAGCTCCACAGAAACAACATATTTGAAGAGTCCTATCGGAGGATCATGTCTGTGAAAAGGCCCGATGTCCTAAAGGCTAGACTGTGGATTGAATTCGAATCAGAGAAAGGCCTGGACTATGGGGGCGTAGCCAGGGAATGGTTCTTCTTGCTGTCCAAAGAGATGTTCAACCCCTACTATGGCCTCTTTGAGTACTCTGCCACGTAAGTACATGGACGCCATTGGCCGTGTATTGGCCCTCCCCTGCGGCTGATACAGCTTATTGAACTTAAAGTACAATTAAAAGACGACTCCCCCACGTGAGATTTCAGTCTCTCCCCACCCTAGCACCCCCACAAGTCTAAAAACAGTTCCGAGCCAACGTGGTGAGGCGCTGTACACCATGAACACCTGAAAGGGATTCTTCTCCTGTTTGGCTCGCAGAATTGAAACTGAAAATGTGTTAGGTTGTTACCAAGGGAGCAGGGTGTTTTTTATTTGTAATGCCATTCTAATTTAAGGAAGGATTTATTAGTATCAGGCTTCAGAGAGTCGCATGAACAAGGACTGTTTCTGAAGTCTTACTACTTAAAAGGCAAATATGAGGATTTTGAACACCCATGCCTGGGATATAAAAGATATTACCCTCGTTCCATAACAGAAGAACCAGGCTATGCCTTGCATTAGGGTTTCATCATTGTCTGGCAAGGGAACTGAGGCAGGACTGGGTTGTTTTCTCAGCAAACATTTGGCTCCTGTTTTCTCTGGGATGAGAATGTTCAGGAGCTTGAGGCTGATCCTAAACTCCCAGTGGAATAATTGATCTTGGCAAAGAGATGTCTATTTAGCTTTGTTCCAGTGTAGACTACAACTGATGTGGTTTCTCCTACATCTTCCTCCTCATACCTATATTATAGGGCTTATTGGCAAGGCTATCTCAGGACAACCTTCAGTTGATCTAGCCAGAAATTGCCTTGGTTGGTAGTGGTTGGTAATGAGGCTCATGAGAGAATCCGCTGTAGAAAACGTTAACACCACTGAAGTAGAAAACAAGGTAGGAAAGAAAGAAAGAAAGAAAGAAAGAAAGAAAGAAAGAAAGAAAGAAAGAAAGAAAGAAAACAGGCGCCAAGGTCCTTACCTCTCCCTACATCTCCAAGTAACTCCTAGAAAAATCAGTCTGCACTGCCTTCCTGAAAGCTCCTTGTTCTCATGATTGTGAGTCCAAAGGGGAACATGTGTCCTGGGGTTTGCATTATTAAGACTGCCGTGTTCTTCTCCCAGTGATCCTTAGATCACTTACCCAAGAGTCAGACCTATAGGGAATATCCCCAAATCAAAAAGCCTCTCAGAGGAATTAGCCTTCTTTGATCACAAAAACCACCTACAGAACTTGTGTCCCTGAGGATCTCTGCACATCCTTTTACACTGTGAGCATTCTCATCTTCTCAGGATGTCTGGTTGACCCATTTGAAACTGACGTGTGAGTGAGTGTGTGTGTGTGTGTGTGTTCGTATGTATTATTGCACATGTATGTGTGTGTATATGTGTGTATGACGGCTAAAGGGCAGCCTCAGGTATCCTCACCTTGTTTTTTAAGACAGACTCTAACTGGCCTAGAACTTGCCAATCTGCTAGGCAGCCAGAAAGCCCCCAGGGATCCATCTGTTTCAGCCTCCTAAACCCTAGGATTATAAGCATGAGTCACCACACACAGCTTTTTTAAATGTGTATTCTGGGGATCAAACTGAAGCCTGCATATTTGCAAGGCAACTACTTTATGACTGGGCTGTCGCCCTGGGCCCCTGAAGTTGGCATCTCCATAGATAAAAATTAGGCAACTGTCCACAGTTTCTGCACTTTATTAACCCAGAACTGTCACTACAGAAAGGGATGTATGACTGGTGGGTTGTATCTCCCAGCTCATACCAGTTGCCACCAAGTCCTAAAGGTTTGCAATTGCATTGTAAAATGGAGCGATGGGTGACAAAGGCAAGATCAGCTTCTTGGATTTCTTTTCTTTATTTCTTTTTTTTTCTTTTCTTTAAGTGTGATTGCACTTTTCTCTTTTCCTCCCCAAAGGGACAACTACACACTTCAGATCAATCCCAACTCAGGCCTCTGTAATGAAGATCATTTGTCCTATTTCACGTTCATTGGAAGAGTTGCTGGCTTGGCAGTGTTTCATGGGAAACTCTTAGACGGTGAGTTACTCCAAAGGCTTGTAGTAAGGCCGTGCCGCCTGCGCTTCTGCAATCCCGTGTCTTAGCCTACGTGTAGATGGTCAGTAAGAGCTTCTCTGGCCCTCTGTGATTGAGCCCAGGACCTTGCACATTCCTCAGAGCCCCAGCCTACAGTGTGTGGGCTTTCCAGCTTTCCTCTAACCATGGTCTTTTGGTACAGTTTCATGAACTGAAGACAGGGCTCTATATATACGTACTCTCCGTAAACTGAAGCACAGATCAGTCATCCCATGTGTTTTTCAGGACACCTTTCCTCTAGTGAGAGCTAGATTCAGCGACAGATGGAAAATTTAATTGAAATGTTAAATAGATGATCTAATCCATCAGTAGCCTGCCCTTGCTCCATTTGTCCCCAAATTGGTTTTTAATGATTTCAAAGTGATGTTATCACTCGACTAAGGCCTTAACCCTGGAATGTCCTCTGAAGTAGACGGAGCAAATTAACTGTGTCCTTCTGGAGAGGAAATATACAGGAACTCCAGGGCATGAGAAGTTAGGGCTCAAAGCCCCTCCCACCTGGATATACCAAAGTCTGTTATACAAGTCTCATATGGACTTAGTGGTCTCAAAATAATTACCTTAACGTGAGGGAGCACTACAGAAATCATCAGTGAGCAAAAAGTCATGAGAACTTTGAGACGTGAGGTAGAGTAGTTGAAGACAACATTCCCGTGACGGTAGAGAGGGCCATTTGCAAGGGAATTTGGCCAGATGCCTTTTTGAAGCTTGAGCTACTCCAGTAAATAATTGATGGACCCTCCAAACTTCTCTTTTAATATATTTGTACTACTAATGGCTAGCTAATTGTGACTCTCTGGTATCAGTATTTTATTTTGCAAGGGGGAAGGGACACTGTATGCATAAGGTGCATACAACTGTTTGACTCACTGCTCAAGAGTGTACAGCTGATACTTGTTTGTGTGTATTCACAGTAAGCACTTCTTTCTGGTTCTGTCCATGCGTGTATGTATACAGTAAGCACTTCTTTCTGGTTCTGTCCATGCGTGTATGTATACAGTAAGCACGTCTTTCTGGTTCTGTCCATGCGTGTATGTATACAGTAAGCACGTCTTTCTGGTTCTGTCCATGTGTGTATGTATACAGTAAGCACTTCCTTATGACTCTTCCCGTGTGTGTATGCAGCTTATTTTTTACTCCAGGTCCCTCCTTTGCTTCTGTCAGTCCGTTAACCCTCCCTACCTTCTGAGAACGTCTGCTCATTCATCTTCCACCAAGCAAGAAGACACTGTTAATTAGTGTGGGGGAATAGAGATAACTGTAAAACCCGGTCCTGGCTCCAGTGACCTCACAGTTAAGGGAGAAACAGATGATAAAGAAAGATGAATAGCAGAGGTGGCTTCCCTGCTACAGGTGGACAGGAAGCAGCAGAGAAGCCCTCTGCCTTGTTGCTGAGTGTCCTGGAAGCATTCGAAGCCAGGTTCGTTTCAGAGGAACCTGGGTTGGCCAGCACTCAGCCCTGCAGAAGGGAAAATGCAGAGAGCCAAGGGTGGATGGGGACCTGAGGTGACTAGGCTGGTTCCCACAGAGGGGTCACGCACACGTCAGTAACCCACGGGTCTTCAGTCCCGCAGCACACGAATGCCCATTGACATGGCACACTCAGCCCATCCACCTCTGTGGTCAGCGTCATGCTTTTGCCTCACTAGACATTAAAGTGTGTCTCTGTGGCCCAGGGACTACACTAACCAAAATGAAGCTGCCTATGCCGCAGGGCCTTGCAACCCCATATCTGGAGGCAAAGGTGCAGCCTTCCTGTGGATGGGCTAGGAAGGCATCTACCTGATCGGGGAGTCTTCTCTGTCATGGTTTTCTTGTGGCCTCTGCAGCCCTCATGGGCTGTTGCTCAACCCACACAGGGGCCTCGGTCACCAGCAGTGTCCTGGAGCTGGCACTGACATGCAGGTAGAGCTTGCCTGTGCTTGTTGACTCAATACTGTCCTGGGAGAGGCCGCCTTTCTGGCCCGGCCTGGGACACCGTACTCAATACTACCATAACAGCCCTCTGCTGACACCAACCTTGGTGGCATCACACACCACCTGGAACCCATTCTCGTCTGCTGCTAAACCACCTCCAAGTACAGACACTCCACTCCACTCCTTCCTAGGCTTTCTGTCCCAGTTCATTCCTGTTGCCATGATAACATATCCTTACGAAAATCAACATGGGGGCAGAGAAGTTCATAGTTTATAGATCCAAATTACAGTCAACATTTTGGAGAAGACAAGACGGGAACTTAAACAGCTGGTCACATCACATGCACGGTTAAGAGCAAAGAAAGAATAAGAGCATCTTTCTCTCTTAGTGTGATCAGGACCCCTTCCTAGGGAATGGCACCTCCTGCAATGGGCTAGATCTTCCTACAACATTCAACAGTTGAGACAGTCACTTACAGATGTGCCCACAGGCTAAACTGATCTAAGTAATTCTTCACTGATACCGTCTTCTTGGGTGATTCTGGATTGCCTCAGGTTAACAGTTAAAACGAACCAGTGTCCCCTCTCCACTTGCTCATGGGTTACTCTAAAAGATCCTTGATCATTCAGTCATGACGGCCGTTTATATGGAAAGCAGTTTATTCTTGATTTTTTTTCGCAGCTGCGTAGGCGCATCAAGGGCTGGAAACTTAACCAACCTTTTGCCATATTTCAGGGTTCTTCATTCGACCGTTCTACAAGATGATGTTGGGGAAACAGATAACTCTGAACGACATGGAGTCTGTGGTGAGTAAAGGCAGGACACGGTGTAGCCGTCATAGGCCTTGCTCGCCTTCCGGATGGGCGTTGGGAACCACGTTTACAGTCTGGGTACAGTCACTCTGTGTGAACAACAGGGGGGATTGCTCACCAAAGGTCAGTTGACCTTCCTGATTTCGATAATAAGCCACTTACGTTTGGTTTCCAAAAACTTTGGCCAATAGGTGGGTACAGCAAAGTTTCAGCTGCTTGACCAGCACATTCAAACCAAGGGACAGCTGAAACCTTGGTCTAAATAGCCTTGTTCCCCACCTAAATGTTAGAAGATTCCACCTTCTGTTTCTGCCCTCATGAAAGTGGTGGAGGCAAAGCCAAAACAGTAGTCGTCTAGACGTGGTCATCTTGATACAGAGGACTACAGAATGAGAGACTGGGGCTTGCGTAGTTAAGACGGGCCCTCCAGAGAGTGGTGTCGACATGCAGTGGTGCTGACTGCTTGCCTGGCCTGATCATGCTCGGCGCTTATGCCTTAGCTGGACTGACTATTGACTATGTTACCTGGACTGACCATGCGCAGTGCTGCTTACCTAGACTAACAATGCTCTATGCTTATGCCTTAACTAGATTGACCTTGCTCAGTGTTTATGCCTTACCTGGACTGACCATCCTTGGATATATTTATTTTAAACAAAACATGCCCTTCTTTTCAGAGTACACTTACATGTCTGGCTTTCTCTGTTTACTTATGCTCTGCCATCTGTGTGTGTTTGTGTGTGCGTGCATGTGTGTGTGTGTGTGTGTGTGTTTGCCTGTGTTTACTAGGTGCATTGTTGTCCTCACGGAAGAACTACAGCAATGTTTCTATGTGGTCACTTGAGTTAGAAAACTGCATCCCTCAGCCTTGTGGCACATGGACTGTGTTTTGTGCAGAGCCGAGAATGTGACTGATGCCCGTGGTACCACCTTGTGCTTCTGTTCATCGTCGCAGGAAAAGAGGCGACTGTTGCACTCTAGACCTGTGACATGCACAGACTGGCTGGCACCTGTAGTCTCAGTTCAGTCTCACAGCCCCTTCCAGCTTCTGCTTTAGTCCAATTTACACTTCTGTTGTGCTAGCCTGAGGAGGTTGGGAGCACAGAAGTTGCTCCCGGCCCCTTGGGGAAGGAGGTTGAGACAGAGTATCACTATGTATATGGTCTGGCTTGGTTTAGAAGATACCATCCTCCTGCCTCTACTCCAAGTTCTGGGGTTAGAGGCATGCAATACCATCCTGTCCTACAAACAAAATCCTGCTCTTAACGCCTAAGTCTGTGGTTCCTGTTGGCCATTAGTATTTGGGGTTTGGAGTAAATATTTTATCTTTAATTGTGCATATTGGGGGAGTCGCACATGCAAATGAATGCTGGTGCCCGTAGAGATCAGAGGCATCAGGTTTGCCTTGAGCTGGAGTTACAGGTGGTTGTGAGCTGCCCAGAGGTTACGTGGGAACAAATATCTTCCACAAGAGCAGTACGCACTCTTAACTGCTGAGCCATCTCTACAGCCCCGGCATGACTGTTTTAAATGTGGTGCACGTTATTTTTGGTCTCTTTTGAGCCTGTTAGCTCGTTCTCAGCGAGAGACTCTGGGCATGCGCAGAGGGGACCTGATGGTCTCACAGCTCCTATTTTCTGAAGCACGGCCCTGATTTGTGCTTAAATTAACGATCAGAGAACACCGAGAAAACAGGAAAGCACAGAACATACCCTATGTGGTGTTTAGTTAGAGCACCATCCTGCCTGGTCTCTCTCTGATAGTCTCACTCTTAGAAGACAGGAGAGCACTGTGTGCAATTCTGTGGATTTGATCCAGGTGTGGGATAGCCCCAAATGGGCTGAGTCAGGAAGAGATGTTGAAGACCACTGTGGGGCTACCAAACATGATGGGGGAGGGTGGCCTCTGAATGGTCTCACTACTTACTGCCCGCCCAATCAGGTGGCGTGAGCCATAGAGAACAGGAGGAAGTCACACATACTATCACTGCCCAGAGGTCTCGTGTTTTTTTTTTTTTTTTTTTTTTTTTTGGAAATGGGCAGGTTTTTTTTTTAATTTTATTTATTTATTTATTATATATACAATGTTCTGTCTGTATACCTGCAGGCCAGAAGAGGGCGCCAGACCTCATTACAGATGGTTGTGAGCCACCATGTGGTTGCTGGGAATTGAACTCAGGACCTTTGGAAGAGCAGGCAATGCTCTTAACCACTGAGCCATCTCTCCAGCCCGAGGTCTCGTGTTTTAAATGAGTGGGGAGATGAGGCTGGAGCGATGGCTCAGTGGTTCAGAGTGTGTGCTGCTCTCACGGAGGATGGGTTTCTAGTGTGGCTCACAACTAACTGCCTATAACTCCAGATCCATCCAGAGGCTCTGACTCCCTCTCCTGGCCCCCTCTCCTGGCCCCCTCTCCTGGCCTCCACTTGCACCTGAGCACAGGTGCGTGCACATGCAGACACGAAGTAAATCGTTAAGTAAAGAAATGAGAAGTGGTTTTGGTAGAGCAGGCCCCTTGCCACTGTGGTGAGTAGTGTCACCCTTGGGCACAGATGCATGGAATTATATTAGAATGAGTTTATCAGTAACAGGTCTGTGTTCTGAAAACAAATGCTCACTTTTCCTCTCTGTCATTCCTATAGGACAGCGAGTATTACAACTCCCTGAAATGGATCTTAGAAAATGACCCCACGGAACTTGACCTCATGTTCTGCATAGATGAAGAGAATTTCGGGCAGGTATGTGGGTCCAGCTCCCGTGGCCCTTCCACGTGTTTCTTTTGCTGTGGGCTGTAGCGCAGCATGGCTAGAACGCTAAACAGCCGCACTGACTTCCGCCTTATTATTAGCGGGAACATGTCTGATCCAGAAGAGCCTTCGTCTGCCTTCCACTCCACTTCCTCGGTGCCCAGCTGCCTGTGCGCCTGCGCTGTTTGGGGCTGCCATAGGGTGCAGTGGTGTTTGAAGAGTGGAGGAAATCCAAATAGGAGAGAGGTGGAAGTATGGGGCCATCCAGGACATACATCCACATAATACAGCTGCAGCTTACTGGGGACACTCCTTCAGCTGAGAAATTCAAAGAAATAGCAATGGCAACAACCTTGTGGATCCCACAATATACATCTTTTAGATGTATATTTTTGCCCTTTTTGGTAGTTGCGTGGTCTATTTTGATGATTACTTTATAAACTGACAATCCTGGTGTATATATGACAACCCTGGAATATACATATATACTATACACATCATACACATAACTTCTAAAAGAGAAACTGTTGCCAAAAGGAGAAAACAGACATAGATCCCAGAGCTTTCCTCTGCCCTCCTATCAAAAGCAATATATAAACTCTGCCTGGCTTTTTAAGCGAGTGTATGTCCGTCCTTCCTTCCTTCCTTCCTTCCTTCCTTCCTTCCTTCCTTCCTTCCCTCCTTCCTCCCTACCTACCTACCCACCTACTTGGTTTTTGTTGGTGATGATGTTGTTTGATTAGTTGAGTTTTGTTTTGTTTTTCAAGTCCATGTATTTTGCCTCTTACAAGAAGTTCCATTTTGTGTTCTTTATGCAGCATGATTTCTGGTGACAGGCGGAATGCTGGAGTTCCCCTCTATGGGCTTGATGGTTGATTGGCGTTTGTGAGCTTGATGCATGTTCTCCGGTGTCTGTTTTCTTCTCCTCGAACATGATTAATTTCTTGATAAATGAACACTCTCTGTTGTTGCTAATGTATGAAGAATAATTAAACCCATAAACATCCATGAACTCATTTTCCTTTAATGATAACATCTTGACATGCGTAGAGTCCTGGAACAGTCTAAAAGGCTCACTTGACACCCTCCTATACAGAGAGCCCATCGCTGGGAAATAGTTTTAAACAAACTTTGCCTCTCTTCCTTTTATAGTAAGACGTTACTCAATAATGTGTTAAATAACTTAATGTCTTTGATGGTTGTTTTTTCCTTTGTAATCACAGACCTATCAAGTGGATCTGAAGCCCAATGGGTCAGAAATAATGGTGACGAATGAAAACAAAAGAGAATATATTGAGTACGTATGCACGTATTTATTACATTATCTTTGTGTACGTGTGTGTACGTGTGTGTGTGTGTGTGTATGCATGGGGTGTGAGGTCAGTGTCATATCTGCCTCAATCACTTAAAAAAAAAAAAAAAAACGGGGTCAGTCAGTGAACCTGGAGCTCATTGGTTCAGCTGGGCAGCCTTGCCTCTGCTCCATGGGCATGCTGTCTCCACCTCCCTGCAGAAGGACACACCACTATGCCTGGCTTTGTTTGTTTGTTTTACATGGGTGCTGGGGACCAGAAGTCAGGTCCTAAAGTTTGCACAGGAAGCATTTAAACAGCTGAGCCATCTTCCCAGACCCTGTAACGTTTACTTTTAAGAAATCAAATGATTTATTTGGTTGTTGTCCTTTCCCTGAACTGCTCATGCATACTACAAATAGGAACTTGTTGTTAGTTTTTGTTTTGTTTTTGAGACGGTGTCTCTCTGTTGTGATGTGTGACTATCCTGGAATTTGCTCTGTTGACAAAGCTGGCCTTGAATTCACAGAGATCCACCTGCCTCTGCCTCCTAGTGTTGGGATTAAAGGCAGGCACCACCGTGCCTGGCTTCTCAGTTTAAATAATGGCAATTTCCTTTTTGATTGGCCTGTGAGGCAGTTGAATGCGGGAGAGATGTTTACGTTCTCTTGCCGTTTCATAGAGAGTTGCCGCGGGAAGAGAGGGTGCACATGCACAGTTTAAAAGGTTCATTTGACACCCTCCTATACAGAGAGCCCTCAAGTGCTCCTTGAGGATGGATGGCTCATCGGAAATTCAAATTCGCAGCCATGGGGATATTAGACACTAATGGGGAAGAATTAGGGGTTGAAAAAAAAAATTCTTTCTCCTCACTTGTCCATACTGGAAGTTGAGGGAAATATTGCAAACATGGGTGCATTGTTCTGATAGTTGCTATCTGACAACCCAATCTCAGCCTCATTTTGTGGAACAGATCATTGAGTCCTTCTGGAAGTTTAGCCTCTGGGTAGCACTAGACATCCCTAGCAGACAGGAGGAACTCTCGGTAGAGCGCACTACGTCTTCCTCTTCAGTGTGGCAACATGAGTCACACACAATTCTGGGATCTTTTGCAAGATGAGCTCTAGCCTAGGCTTGGGCCCAAGTGAGGGAAATGCAGGTGTTTGGGTCACAGGTCCTAGTTTCTATATGTTCGTGAGTCTGGCCCACGCTGAGCTCATTTGCTGTCTGAGCTCCCTTCCGACCAGCTGGACGTCCTCCTCTAGCCTCATTTCAAGTAGGCCAGTGGGCTTGGATCCAGAGGACGGACTGGGGTCGTCTTACATTTTAGTGCGATATAAAGAAAACCTGCTGTCTAAACAGGAGGCAAGGGAGAGCCTTGCAGGCTTTACCTGGAAGACATTGATGAAGCCTCTAGCACATGTAGGGAAGTTTTTTTTGTTGGTTTGGTTTGGGTTCCGTCACTTTCAAGTAAAAGTGCGTGGCGCTTAGTAAATAAGCCAAAAGTAAGCTACTGTGGTGTGTGCACTACCATGCACAGTGATTGGTAGGCTTGTTCTACCATGGCCAGCTTCATCAGATGCCCCCCTGGGAGACCCTCTTTGTAAAGGTCTGGCATTAAGTGGTTTTTTTTAAAAAAAAAAAAAAAATTTCTATCCCTGGTTGGCTGAGGCCTAAGGCTGTAGACATAGATCATGTGGACCAGGGTCCGGCAGGGTCTCAGCTACAGAGGATTGAAATCCCCTGCTGCTCACTGGCCCCTGCGGTGCCCTTGACACTGGAAGAATGATGCTGGGCAGTGGGTCGCAGCCTAGCCCTGTGGTACCCACAGCTGAGTGCTGTGTGCACTGCAGGATGCTGCGCTCAGGCTGTTGTCATGGTGCCGCCTGGAAGAGGAGTTCAGAGTCCACATTGCTCACACTGAACACCGTCTCAGGGACAGTTCCAAGTGGCTCACAGATTCAACCATGCACCTCTAAACTTAGTATTAAAAGTATTAGTGTGGGCCATGTAGCACACACCTTTAATCTCAGCACTGGGGAGGTGGACCCTGTCTCAAAAAAAAAATATTTTTAGGTATTATTGTATAATATATGGTATTATAAACGATTCTTAACACATGTTCATACTTAAACATACATGTGAATGGGTAGATATGTCTAATCATATCCCATGACTTTATTAGCAGATGTTTAATGTTCTAATTTATTTTTATGTGTATGAGTGTTTTGAATGTATGTCTGTGTACCATAATGTGTGGGTGGTGTCCTTGGAGAGGAGAGGAGGTTGTCAGATCCCCCTGGGATTAAATTTATAGTTACCCACACGTGAACTGCCATGTGGGTGCTGGAAATCAAACCCAGGTCTCCGGAAGAGCAGCCGGTGCTCTTAAGTGCTGAGCCATCTCTCCAGCCCACCTTTTCGTCCTTCTTTGTCAAGTCACATTTGTGCAGCTCGTGGATCCACAGGGGCTTGATGCAGTCTGGCAGACCAGTTACGCTCTTGACAGCCTCAGAGAGAGCATACATTTCTCACAAATGTTCCGGTGGCTCTTAAAGGAATGCAGGAATTCTCAGCAGATGTTCCAAAGCAAGCGCCACTCCACTTGCCCCTCTCTTCAGGATTCTCTGTTTACTCCGCTCAAGGAGCAGCAGGCCCAAGTATAAAGAAAGCAGTGACTGTAGGGTGGCAGAGGTGTTGGAGGAGGCTGCTTGGCCCGTTAGCTCTAGCTTCTTATTGACTAACTCTTACATCTTAATTTAACCCATCTCCATTCATCTGGGCATCACCATGAGGTCATGGCCTACCAGCAAAGTTTCAGCATGTCTGTCTCCAGCAACAGCTCTGTGGCTCTCCCTGACTCTGCCTCCTTTCAATGCCTATGCTTGGTCTCCTGAAAGAGCCAAAGGTCACACTGGCAGCGTGGCCCAGAAATCGGGCATTTTAAAATGGCTGTGGCTTTGTTTCTTCCTGCTACTGCTGAGTCAGGAAAACCTCTCTTAAAGGAGCTGCGGCATGCCACCTGCAAGCAAAGCCCATTTGGGAAAAAAAAAAAAATGTGGCTAAACTTTGTTTTTTAGTGTCTAGAATTCCTCTGCAAGCCCTCTCAGGTTTTAAGTGGATTTTAGTCAACCACGTTGGTGCCAGTTTGTTGCAGAGAGGGCTAACTAAGTATGTTCCTCTTTTTCTTGCAGCTTAGTCATCCAGTGGAGATTCGTGAACAGGGTCCAGAAGCAAATGAATGCCTTCTTGGAGGTAAACACGGCTACTGGGGTCAGGGTGGGGACAGAGTGCAGAAGGCCAGCACAGGTGACTCACCCTGCTGGCCGTTCCCCAAGGTGGGAATCTTCCATGATGCTCTGCCGAATTTTTTTTTAAAGCGTTCTCTTGCTTTGCCTCTCTCCCTTTTTAATGTTCTGAGTGCATTGTTGCTTGCTTGTTTGAGACAATGTCTCTATGGCACGTGCTGTCCTGGAGCTGATGGCAATCCTGCCTCAACCTCCTCGCTGCTAGGATTATACCGCCTGGCTTCCACCTATACTCCTTTGTTGGTTTGGAATTTATTTATTTGTATGTGTGCACACATGTGAGGATGAGTTGGTTGTCTCTGTCTACCTTGAAGTTCTAGCAGTACTCAGAGGAGCTGCCTGCTGCAGTTCTTCTGAAAATAGTGTCCTCTCCTTCAGGCCTTTCCCAACCCAGGCGTGCTGACTTTCCCTGCAGAGCCCTACCCTTTGTAGGACACTAAACTTACCAGATTCTCTCTGGAGTTTTTACATTGCATCCAAATACCAGCTTAGTCCCTGTGACGGAATGAGGTCACTACCTCTTCCACGAGTAGTCTACTACAGGGTACTTTCCCCAACCCCTTCAGGTGGTGGGGTTTTGTGTTTGTGTTTGTATTTTTGCCATAAAAAGTGGTTCGTGTTAGCAAAAGTGAAATTTCTTTTTAATAATATTAGTTATTTAAAAACAACAAGAAGGGCAAGTAGGATGACTCAGCGAGTAAAGGCGTTTGTTGCCTTGAAATCTGACCACCTGAGTTCAAACCCTCAGTGCACACATGCATGCACACACAATAGATAGATCAATTTTGGGGGGAAAAACCCAAACCCCATGGTGGTCGTTTCTAGGGCCCACTCTCATGGAGCAATCCTCTTAAGCTCAGTGGCCTACATGCCATAAAGACAGTCCTCCCCTGAGCAGGAAGTGCACATGTGCCAGGGCCTGGGGGACGTAAGATACGAGGGTGAATTGGCTATGGCACCATCTGCACTGTATTTAAGGAAAGTCCTGGGAAACAGATTCCCAGCCCTGCCCGGCATTCAGGATCCACGGCGTCCAGAATCTCTTCCTGGGTCACCCCCTAATTAATGACAGCCCAGGACAGAGCCTGGCTTGCTATTCTGTCAGTTCTCAGTGGCAGCTCATGCTGCTTGCTTCTCTCCTCCACCCATGCCTTCGGCTATTTTTAAATGTGTCTCTTACACGTTTATGGTCTGTGCATTTTAGGGCACACTGACTCACAAGTGTGTGTCATAACTTACTTTTGCAATCTACCTGCCTCCAGTATCGCTAGTATCACAAGGTTTCAAAAAGTGTGCAAGCACGGGAGTCCTCTATAGACTGTGTGCATTTCAGGCTCCTGTACATGACGTGCTTTTATTGGGATTGTGGTCACCGGACAGTATCACTGCTGCGTGAGCCAGCAGTAAGAAGTGACCCTTCTCTGGCTGACCACAAGCTTATTCCACCAATGAAAATGTCCTTTTTCAGAGGGGAAAAAAAAAAAACTGCTTACGATGTTTTTATCTTTTCCTTTCAGGGATTTACAGAACTTCTTCCAATTGATTTGATTAAAATCTTTGATGAAAATGAGCTGGAGGTTTGTGTTATCAATATGATATTTTATATAAAGTAGATGATTTTAAGTATCTCCTTATTTCACAAATGATGCTTTTGTATTCTCTGACACACGGCATATTGAATGCTCTGTTAGGAGGTCAGTCTTCTAATCGGGGAAGGCTAGCAATCGTAGCAGCCAAATAGATTGGTTGCCCATGACGGGGCAGTTACGGGCATTTCTAGCGGCTCTGGATACACAGCCCCGTGCAAAGAAGAGTGTGATCTCACTGGCGGAGCTGGCTCCCTGCAGCCCTCTAGGACAGTGATCTACTTGCATAACCAGGCCCACCCAGTGCCCTTTGTTGCCTTCCAGTCTTCACCGTGGTCACCCTAGAGCTGTACACCTTCTCCGCAGTCTGTCAAGGAGCCGTGACCTTGTACTTGAAGTGGCTTGTGTTGGGCCATGGGGAGGCCACCAGGTAGTGGCAGGAAGTGTCTGATTGTCCATCAGCTTCTCAGCTTTGGTGTAGATGAGGGAGAGAGCAACTTGAAAACTGAATTCACATCTCAGCTTGGGTTGTGTCGAGGCCCAGAAGGACAGAGGCTGCATCTGTCCACCGCGGTTCTCTCCAAGCCCATGTCCAGCAAAGCATGTCTCAGAGAATTTAAAGCAGAAGTCTTGAGATGAGTGTCATAGAAATTCTGTATTCAAGGCACTACAGGTCTGTAGAGGCTGTGAGACGTGAACAGCATCCAAGATGACTCAGCCAGGCTGGTCCCAAGGAGGCCTAGGAATCAGTTTTCAGGCTTTAGAAATGATTTTTCTTCCTGTTGTATTTTAGTTCTTCCTTGGGAATATCATATTCGTTGGAAACTCCTATTGTAAGAACAGACTGTAGACTAAGCATTGGCAGGGGACCAGTTCCTGCCTGGGTGCCCCCAGGATGCTGGAAGGATGAGGTCATTTGTTGTCACCTGAACTGACCCATCCTGGGGGAGATGAGTTCTTGCTGTCATGGGGACCAATTCAGATATCTGTACAAGTAGCAGCCAGACCCTGTACATCTGCTAATGCAGTACAGGAACTCTACAGCACTGTGCCTAAAGCATGCAGGCTGGAAAAATGACCCGTGTGTTCCAGTATAAAATGTCATGACCTTGCATGCAAGATGCAAGTCTTTTTATTTCTTTCTCTCTCTCTCTCTCTCTCTCTCTCTCTCTCTCTCTCTCTCTCTCTCTCTCTCTCTCTCTCTCTGCTCTCTTTCTCTCTTGAACTGCTGGCTTACCTGCTTGTCTGGTGACAAACGCCAGCGCAGAGAAGAAAGAGTTCTCCACTCACTTACATCTGGTAAATCTCCTTCCTAGTTGCTGATGTGCGGCCTGGGTGACGTTGACGTGAATGACTGGAGACAGCATTCTATTTACAAGAATGGCTACTGCCCCAATCATCCTGTCATCCAGTGGTTCTGGAAGGTAAGTAACTACAGCTCTCTCGGCCCCACCTCTGCTTCGGGCTTCTTCTCCAAATCAGGCCAAAAGTCCTAAGCACTGTGTCAGGCCTCTTGGGGGAAATCAGAACGGGAGCATCTTTGGGAATAGTCATGCCTTCAAGCTGGCTCATCATGTGTAGAAATCGTTTTCTCAACTTTTTTTTTGTTTGTTTGGTTTTTGTTTTGTTTTGTTTTTCAAGACAGTCTTACTCTGTGCACCTCTGGCTGTCCTAGAAGTTGCTCTGTGAACCAGGCTGGCCTTTGACTTGCAGAGATTGATCTGCCTGCCTCTGCTTCCCAAGTGCTGGGATTAAAGGCATGCACCACTACCACTTGGCTTCAACATTTTTTTTATTCCAGTAGCTATTTTGATTGTTATATCTTACAACCCAAGATACAAGTTAAATCTGACTTACTGTCTTGAGGGCCAATGTTTGTATTCTGTTGGGCTCGGGAAAGGCTTGGCAAAGACAGTAAACTAAACATAAAAAAAAAAAAATTAAAAGAGTATTCACATACAACAAAAGGGAATGAGCCCTGCATGGTGGGATATATCTACACTCCTAGGTCTCACTGATAAGCCCAGTACTGGGAAGGCTGAGACAGGAGAATTGGAAGCATGAAGCTGGCCTGGGATGTGCAGCCTGTTCTGGGATAGCCTGAACTGTAGTCCTGGCTGCCTCAAAACAGATTCACCTGCCTCTGCCTCCAAAGTGCTGGAATTAAAGATGTATGCCACTAAAACTGGCAGATGCTGACTTTTTTTTTTAAATGAGAAGAAATCAACCAACGAGTTTTAACTTCTGAATCTGTTATTAATATTTCAAGTACCAGTAAAAGTACAGAGAGCATCAGGATTTTCAAAGTCTAGAACTTGGCTTTGATTTTGGATTGTATTATAGAAGATCAAATCGCATGTTCAGGAAGGCTGGTTTGGTTTCTGCAGCAGTAAGGATCTGGGAGGCACACAGATTGTTTCCAAGGCCCATTTTTGCCTTGGGTTTCCTTCCATTTATCAGGTGTCATTTGGGAACTTTCTGTGGCCACATCACCTGGCTTCCCCTTGTTTTAGACACTTCTGGAACACTGCCTGGTTAGAAATGGCTTCAAGGAGACACCTGAGCTTGAGGCCATCAAAGAGTTTTCTTTTTATACCATTTATTTTGGCAGAAGAACAAAAGTGACCCCACGATGCTCTAAGATTAGAGAGGCTAGGTTGTAGCAACCATCAAAAGGGAGGCAGCGGTGCCGTTTTGCAGAGTCAGCAGTAGAGGTGGTTCCGCGGCAGTGTAAATGAGAATTTAGTCGTCTGCCTGCGTCACGGCAGGGCATGGTGCACAGTGACATCATGACAGTGTGTGCTGTGTGCTGCATGGTGACGTCATGACCTTCTGCCTCTGGCAGGCTGTGCTCCTGATGGATGCTGAGAAGCGGATCCGGCTACTACAGTTTGTCACAGGCACCTCCCGAGTACCCATGAATGGATTTGCCGAACTTTATGGTGAGTGTGGCGTGTCCCAGACTCCTCTGTCCTCCTGTGAGGACCCACACAGGCAGCATCCTGCCACCCTGGCCCCTTTCCAGACCAGTATAACTGTGTCAGTAACATAGAAACCCATGGAGATGCAGGACAAAGGGGTGGGGCAGTGTTTGTACAGAGAATCTGAAGGTGTCTCTTTTCTTCATTTCTCTTTTTCTTTTTTTTCCCCATAGTTCAAGTTTTTTGTTCAGCTTTTAAAACCAGATTTTCAGAATCACCCACATGATCGGAACTGGCCTGTTGAAGGACCCCCGCCCCCAGTCGAGAGGCCTCTTTCTAGTCTGTCCATCAAGGTTCATGGTGCATTGCTTTCCCCGGAAGTAGAGGCCGCAGCTCCTGCGCCTGTGCCACCCCTGGTCCAGTTCTGTGCTGCAGAGGAGATAGGCCAAGCAAGCACTGAGCAGTACAGACCTGGGGAGTTAGGCCCCACCCTGATGCTCACCCCTCCCCTTTCCACTAAGGACCTCCCCCACTCCCAGAACTTGGTTCTCCTACTTCAAGCCCTGTTGATGTGTCTTGTTCTTGGTTTGCCCAGGTTCCAATGGTCCTCAGCTGTTTACAATAGAGCAATGGGGCAGTCCTGAAAAACTACCCAGAGCTCACACATGGTAAGCAATACCTTCTCCTTGGGGCCCGGAGGGAGAGCTCAGTGGCGAAGGGCACTTGTTGCTCTTTGCGGAGGACTCGGGTTTGATTCCCAGTCCCGACGTGGTGGCTCACAGCCGTCTGTAACTCCAGTTCCAGAAGACTGGATTTTTCATAGAAACTAGGCACACACGTGGCACACATCTGTGGAGGCAAAACACTCAGGCACATAAACAAAGGAATCTAAGCCTGACGGCCTCGGTTGGATCACTGGGACCCTCGTGGAGAAAAACCAACTCCAGAGGATCGTCTTCTTACCTCCACATGTGTGTTAGAGTATACACACATGCACACAATAAATGTTTAAAAAAAATAAAACTAAGGACAAGATTTACCCCATAGCAGCCCCAATTTCAAAGGCCTCTATTCAGTCTGTACATGAGTGACCCGTGGGCTGTGACGTCACCAGAAGGTGTTCTCTGGCTGGAGAGGGAGGAAGACGCCTCGGGAATTAGCTCAAAGGAGTCACAAGACACCCAGCACAGACACAGACATGGCCCAGTGGGTCTTAAAGCAACATCGGCACGCTCCTTTCGGTCCAAACTTAGCTGGGGTCCCAGGTTTCTGCCTAGGCTTCTCCTTTGACTGAAGTGGGGGAGTATGGTCCTGCCTTTCACAGCACAGTGAGGGTCCAAAGCCCGTGTTTGTGTGGGCTGTCCTGAGCTGATGTGAACGCCCTCTCTCACCCACAATGCCCGTAAGAGCCTTTGTGAAGACTGGCCGTGGAGGAGCTGGCTGCTGTGGGGTAGATGCCCTTCCCTCCCCGGAAGGATATTTGTGACCACATGGAACAGCATGGTCACTGCCTGTGTGGTCCTTGCTGACATGCACGCTGATTTGAGGCTGAAATTGGCCATCCAGAGCAGGCACCGTCCACAGTTCTCAGCCTTTATCCAAGGGGAGGATGTCTGCAGAGTTCAGACAGCCTCTTTACAGGGCTCACAGCCCTTTCAAATGCTCTTGAACTGTGGTAAGACAGAGTGGATACTCAGGAAACTCTGGATGAGTTGCCCTAGCTGCCATCTTTTGAGTCTGGGCTCCCAGCCCCTTCTGTATGTCTTCTGATTTGACCTCCTGTACTCCTGTGAGGATAGTTTCTCCTTTTTACATCTGAGCAGACAGGTTCATAGAGGTGAGATGACTTAGCCAAAGTTACAAAGACGGCAGGGACAGGATTTGAGCTTGACCCGTAAACAAGTGGGCTTGACTTCTCGCAGAGGTGGACCATCTGTATCTAAACACTTCAGTCTTGAAGGGTGAGCTGTGCCAGCCCCACCCCAGCTGAAGTCTTCTGAGTTGGCTCTCTCTGAACGTCGCTGGTGGCCAACTGGATAGCAGAAGGGGCTCAACTTTCCGAAACTCAAACTTTCTGAGCTCTGCCCTGGGGTCTGGACTGTTCCTAGGAGTGGGACCTCATTGTTTAGGGATCTGCATGTGCAGAACACACAGCCTTAACCTGCTTCACACCTACAGAAGAGCCCTTGGCTCCGGCATGATGGATCAGTGATAGTGTAAGAAACAGTCCATCCAACATTCCTGAATTGTACAGGCCTCATGCTCCGTGGTTTTCTCTTCTTTTAAAAAAGTTTATTATTATTATTATTATTATTATTATTATTATTATTATTATTATTATTATTATTAAAACATGCAATGTGTGTGTGTAGGGTGGGGTACATATGGTACCAGTGTGGTCAGAGACTACTCTGATTCTCTCCATCTACCTTTATGTGGTGTCTGGACATTGAACTCAATTCACCAGGCTTAGCCCCTGTACTTACTGAACCATCTCGGCAGCCCACATTTTTAGTCTCTCTGTGGATGTTGGTGCTTTGTGTCTCCCTCCAGGCAGCAGAGGAATCATGCACAGTAGAAAGGTTGTCTTCTTTTCCCCGTTGATTGTATAACCTGTTTGGCACGGACACTTTCCTAACTAGAATTTGGCTTTGGGTAATAAAAGTGTGACTTTTTTTCTTTGTAATAATTCCCTTTCTCAAACAGCCAGTACCCATTAGCCAAAACAAGAGCATGCTACTCTGACAAGAAAAATGACGGCCACTCACTCCCATTTTCCATTCCTTTGGCAGCTTTAATCGCCTTGATTTACCTCCATACGAAACCTTTGAAGATTTGCGGGAGAAACTTCTCATGGCCGTGGAGAACGCCCAAGGCTTTGAAGGGGTGGATTAAGGCCTCCTGCGTCAGGGGCACTGCCCTTTCAGCAAGTTCTGCGTGCACTTTTGCATTTGCCTAGCAGACTTTTGCAGAGCCGGTGGCAGAAGCAGTTGCCTGACCTGGCTCTGGAGCCCAGCTTGTCCGGGCCATGCCCACGTTCCGCCAGGGAACCCAGTCCCGGCTCGAGTGCCGCCCCTTCACCACCAATTCTCAACTGGTTAGCGTGTACTCTGATTACATTTCAGGAGGACGTGTTCTATTTATGTTGTGCCTCTGCAGGCAAAGCCCTTAATAAATATTTTGCATACTTTCTAATGACAATGAATGGAATTAATCACACTACAGGTATAGTATTACAACTCATGTTTACTTTTTAAAAATGATTTAGACTGATTTTCAGATTTTATTTCATTACAATTAAAGATGTCTCATGTACTTGGAAAAGTGAGCATATTTTTTTGTATTTGAATTTCATATCAAGCTTAATGTCGGTGACATTTTTTATTTTTGAAGAACTCTGACACTCCCACCCTCTACTTTATTAGAATTGGAAGACTAAATTTTTCTCCAGAAGCATTCTACAGACCAACACGTGGAAAGAATTTCAAATAGAGCATTAAGAATAACAATTTTTTCCATGCTTAGAATGAAAATAAACTGGATATTACCCTCTTTTGTACAAACTTAGATACTAGGTACAGGCTGGAAGGACTGTAACATAGCATGATATCTTTGTGTTAACTTGAAAGGAATGACACCATTGTTCCTTAGAAGTATTGACATGTGCCATCTCACACTCAAGACAGGGTTGGACTGTCATTTTGCATCAGAAACCCTTAACCTCTCCTGTTGCTGAACAGCCTCTTCTTAACGCTATTTTCTCCTTGGTGTTTGGAGAGACATTTCCAATGGCATTGCTCGATTCAAAACTGAGGAAGCCAGAGTCAGTGGTCTTCTGTCTCTGTTGGCTAAAACAGTAGCTAATAACCCATTCTTGCTGTAACTGCGGCAATTCCAAAGGCACTTTATGCGGGTCATATCTGTTTGCTCTTTTTTTTTTCTTTTTCTTTTTTTCCTCATAATCATTACATGTGATTGTTTCTTCCTCCCTGCACACATCTGGCTGGTGCAGTATCTATCAATTGTGAATTAACTGCTCGTGAACCCAGATACAGTGCTGAGCCTCTCAACACCGGTCTTCTCCAACTGCTTTGTAATTTCTGCTCAACAGCAAGGATTTTGCCTACTCTACCCTTAGCCAAGTTGTGTGACATAATGACCTATTTTGCATGCTGCGATACTGTGTACTGCCCCCCTCCCCACCAGGGTCACATGTATTGTGTGCTAGTTTAAACGTGAGCTATAAGACCCAGTGGGGTCTACTGAGCTCGAGCGGCCTGGTTGGCAATGGTGGAGAAACGTGGGTGTCTGCAGTGTGTAAGTCTCTGTTGCAGAATTCTGTTGCATTCTGAGAAGACGCCTGAGGCAGCATGGGAGTTGAGCACCTCTGCTGTCCCTTGAACTTGTGTTGTCCTAGACCCTGTCCCGGAAGCGAGGGGATACGGGGTATTTTGATCTCTTGCCACTTGTGAATATTGACAAAAAGACTGCAGTCTCTGCTATGTAAGAAGAACCTTCGTTGTAAGAAGCTGCTCGTGTTTACACAGCCCTGGGTGCCATGAAGAAGCCACGGACATTCTTGGTGGGTGAAGCCCTGGAGCGTAGCGTCCTGCCAAACTGAGCTTCGGCTTCTTCCCACGTGCTATGGAGTGATTACAAAACAATTAACACTCTATTCTTGGTTTTTGGTGAGATATCTCCTGTAGTTACCAGATATTGGGGGTGGGGTCTGATGTTGATATTGTTGTTGTTGTTGTTGTTGTTATACAACCTTCCACGTCCAGAACGTCTCTCTGTTACAAAGAGTGCCAAAGCCCGAACTGAGCAGTGTGTTTTGATTGAAGAAGAAACCAAAATCCGCTCTAAGAACTGGGGTTCTAGAATTCTGTAGGCTCTAGATCCAGCCACGTCACTCACCAGATACAACGTAGCCATTCTGCATTTTAAATAAACGCCAAAAGGGCTGTCAGGATGGCTCAGTGCGTCAGGGTGTTAGTCACCAAGGCTGACAGCCAGAGTTCAGTCCCTGAGCCCCACCTGATGGGAGGAGAGAAGTGACTCCTGCAAGCTGTCCTTTGACCTAACCCATATGTGATTTCTTTTTTAATTCAAAGTATAGGGAGGGGAGGGTTATTACTAAGCCAAGAGTGGAAAAGACCTATCGAAATACACTCCTGCGAGTACTTGAAAGGCGGGCCATGGTGAATAATGCCTCAGTTCATTGGTCCAGGCTTCAGGTTTTAGCAGCTGTTACTGGGTAGTTAGAAAGTAAAATTACCATTTACTGTAATACGGTTTGTGAGGTTTCACTTGTTGCCTGCAGCTCCCAATGTCTTGTCTCCAGATGGTGATGCCCGTGCCGGGCCATCTTTGTACGATAGTTGTAAATGGCCGTGGAGAGCATGCTGTCCCTGAGGGCCAGGAGGCAGCTCATTCTCCGGGCCTGACCTCTGCAGCCAGCTGCAGCAAACAGTAGTTGTGATCATTTATCTTGAGGCTGCAGAGTGGGTTCCAGGACTCTTCCCTGTGGAATGACTTTGAGCATCCTGCGGCTGTCTTGTGTTTCCCTCCCCGCCCCTTTTAGTCCACGGTAAGCCTGGATCAGCCTACTGACTCCAGAGCCGGTGGCCATGGGCATTGGTCTATTCTAGGTGTCCTCAGTGTTCTTTCTTGTCTCTCTAAAACACTGATCTCTACCTTCTATGACCGGTCCTCTAGCGGGTCACAAGAACCAGAGATCTGTATTTGTTTTTGTTTCCGGGGCTGATGTAGCTTAGTAGCAGAGTGTTTGCCTAGCGTGTACCTAGCCGTAGATTTGATTCCCATTGCTGGGGGCGGGAAGGGGGTGGATAAGATAAAGAATTCTGTTTCCAAGGACCTGAAGCAGGAGACAGCAGAGAATCCTGACATTCAGATTAAAAATGGTATCAAGTGACTTGACATGCATCTTTTTTCCCCATAAGGCTCAGCGGCAGACTTGTGGAAGTGGGCCACAAAATAATTTAACGCTTCTGCTTCTCGCATGACCTGTGGCTCTAGGTCTCGCCAGATTCCAGTCTGTTCTAAGAGTCAGGCTCATGTGCAGTAGCCTCTAATGTGTTCTCTATTTTCCTGATAGTCTCTCATCTCACCTGAAATATGAAAGTCTACAAAGAAAGTCTGGGCTCAACAGCTGCCCAACCCATCCCCGCTGAACTAGCTCTTGTCTGTGGTTCTCAACTATCTCAGTAATGGAAGGGGGATGCTAACCATTGTCATTCGCTTCCTGGCCAGTAGGGGTGCTGCTGTGCAGGGTCACTGCCTGCCCTGCTTCCCTGTCTGGCTCCCAGAAGACCACATGCTACCTCTGTCTCATATTGGGGTATATCCTAAGTCATGTCAAAACTGCCAATTTCAGGACTAGGATATGTTAAAAAAAAAAACTTATAAACTCCACTTTGTATCTTAGATTTTAAAACCGGGTAGAAATGTGATATACATTGAACCACTTTTTTAATTTCTATAAGCCTTAATGAACAGTGTATATGCATCTGTGTATGCACTCCATCCCAGAGTGTGTCAGAGAAAAAGCTGTCGCGTTAGGACGTGAGCCTGTCTAGGGTTCTCTAGGAAAGGGGTAGCTTTCCGTTTGGTATGAAATCTTCCAAGAAAACTCTCTCCACATCTCTCCTTTATTTGAAAGCGCGTGTCTGAAGCAGCCTGTCTCTTTCCTGGTTTCGTATTTGTAAGGCACAGCGGTGGGACTCTAAGGGCATCTGCTGGTGTGTGACCTCTTGTGTCCTGCCTTCCCTCCACTGTGTCTTGGTGTATTGAAAGCCTTTCCTGTGACCATAGCCTGTGCTGACAAATGTCTGTTCTGTGTAAGCCGGTCTGCACCTCATACTCAGACTGGTTTTTACCTACGTTGTCACGGTTTTTTTCATGTCGACTCTTGCGACTCTGTTCTTCCTTCTGCTACCCCAGATGTAACATGCATACCTACATGTGTATGTTTGCTGTCCAGATATATTTGTATATATTTGTATAGCACTTTTACACCTTAGGAGCAATCTGGATTCGAAGGGGAGTGAGAGCTTGGTCCCATCTACAGTTTTCTCCACGTCCTGAGAATTCTGACCCTCGGCGTCCCAGAGAACCCTAGGAAAGTATTAGCTTGCTGTCATTTCTAAATTCGGGATCTGTTACCAAATGAAACATTTTTTTTAAGTGACTTTGAAGGTGAAAAGAGTTTCAAGCATTCCAAATGAATTCTCAATGTTTCTTAACTTTTTATTCTAACCCCACCCCCTAACAAAGCTGAGTGCTATTTGATACAATGGTCAAACCCAAACTACCTTGATGTTTTTTCTAAGACAGCCTAGTGACTGATGCTCGCTTTCCCAGTCCAGAAGAACTTTAACCTAGCTTGAATCTGGTACACACGCAAAGTTTCACGGTCAAGTCCTTCTCTTTCTTCTCGAGAGAGCTAAAGAGATGCTGTAGCTTGTTTTCCTGACAGCAAATGAAAAACTGTGACAAAGTGAAGAAAGTTGTTGTAAAGCGGTGACGCCACTTGTCAAATATTTAATAAAGAATTATGAAAGCTGGAACATTTCCTACATAAGTATTATGGGTTGTCTGATTTAAAGCTGCTTCGAGAGTCTGCCATGTTAATTGTGTCAAAGGTTTGAAGGACTGCAGTCCTACCTCAGGGATGAAGTCTTCCATGAACACACAGGATAAGCATAGTAAGCTCATTTGCCCTCATCCATATTCTAGGTTTTGTCTTTGTCTTAGGTTTATTAAACCTAAGAATTGCCAGCTTGATACAAAAAGCACGATCCTGTTACTCCATACCTGGAAAGGTGACTGAGTTCACGGCTGCTTTCCAGTGTTCACTAGACTTCGGGACAGTAAATGACATTGGCAGCCAAGCCATGGCGTGTCTCAGAAAGATGTCCTGGGCATTCAGACCTGTGCTGGTTTCCCGTTCCAGGTCTCCCTATTCTTGGGGGTGGAGGAAGCCTTGCTTTTTTCCATCCATCCTGCCATCAATGTCCTCACCCCGGCCCCTCAGAGACTGCTGGCCTGTGACATCCAAGCAGGACTCAGGGGTGTCAGCCCTTGCTGTAGCTTCCTAAACTTGCTGCCAGGTTCTCACCAGCTCCCAGAACTCCTGCCACCTCACCCAGGCTCAGGAGGAAACACAAGCACGGGTGGGAAGGACCACTGTCAGTTCTTACAGAGAAACGGTGGGATGAAGAGATTGCCACTACTGTGTAGTTGCTAGGTTGATAGACCCTTAGCCCACTGTTAGAGCTGAGTGATGTTGGTATTTCCAGAAT